GTGTGTGTGATAAGTGTACATGTGCGTGTGTGTATAAGTGTACTTGTGCGAGTGTGCGCGCACCTGTTCGTGCGGCGTGACGGCGCGGCGCGGCGCGTCCCGCCCTCCAGCTTGAGCCGCTGTCTGTATGTGTACGTGTGCGTGTGTGTATAAGTGTACGCGTGCGTGTACAAGTGCGTGTCTGTATTTGTACGTGTCTGTATGTGTACGGTGCGTGTACGAGAGCGTGTCTGTATTTGTACGTGTATTTCTGTATTTGTACGTGTGTGTGTGTGTGTGTGTGTGTGTGTGTGTGTGTGTGTGTGATAAGTGTACATGTGCGTGTGTGTATAAGTGTACGTATGCGAGTGTGCGCGCACCTGTTCGTGCGGCGTGACGGCGCGGCGCGGCGCGTCCCGCCCTCCAGCTTGAGCCGCTGTCTGTATGTGTACGTGTGCGTGTGTGTATAAGTGTACGCGTGCGTGTACAAGTGCGTGTCTGTATTTGTACGTGTCTGTATGTGTACGTGTGCGTGTACGAGAGCGTGTCTGTATTTGTACGTGTATTTCTGTATTTGTACGTGTGTGTGTGTGTGTGTGTGTGTGTGTGTGTGTGTGTGTGTGTGTGTGTGTGTGATAAGTGTACATGTGCGTGTGTGTATAAGTGTACGTATGCGAGTGTGCGCGCACCTGTTCGTGCGGCGTGACGGCGCGGCGCGGCGCGTCCCGCCCTCCAGCTTGAGCCGCTGTCTGTATGTGTACGTGTGCGTGTGTGTATAAGTGTACGCGTGCGTGTACGAGTGCGTGTCTGTATGTGTACGTGTGTGTCTGTATGTGTACGTGTGCATGTGTGTATAAGTGTACGTGTGCGTGTACGAGAGCGTGTCTGTATTTATACGTGTATTTCTGTATTTGTACGTGTGTGTGTGTGTGTGTGTGTGATAAGTGTACATGTGCGTGTGTGTATAAGTGTACTTGTGCGAGTGTGCGCGCACCTGTTCGTGCGGCGTGACGGCGCGGCGCGGCGCGTCCCGCCCTCCAGCTTGAGCCGCTGTCTGTATGTGTACGTGTGCGTGTGTGTATAAGTGTACGTGTGCGTGTGTGTGCGCGCACCTGTTCGTGCGGCGTGACGGCGCGGCGCGGCGCGTCCCGCCCCTCCAGCTTGAGCCGCTGTCTGTATGTGTACGTGTGCGTGTGTGTATAAGTGTACGTGTGCGTGTGTGTGCGCGCACCTGTTCGTGCGGCGTGACGGCGCGGCGCGGCGCGTCCCGCCCCTCCAGCTTGAGCCGCTGTCTGTATGTGTACGTGTGCGTGTGTGTATAAGTGTACGTGTGCGTGTGTGTGCGCGCACCTGTTCGTGCGGCGTGACGGCGCGGCGCGGCGCGTCCCGCCCCTCCAGCTTGAGCCGCTGTCTGTATGTGTACGTGTGCGTGTGTGTATAAGTGTACGTGTGCGTGTGTGTGCGCGCACCTGTTCGTGCGGCGTGACGGCGCGGCGCGGCGCGTCCCGCCCCTCCAGCTTGAGCCGCTGTCTGTATGTGTACGTGTGCGTGTGTGTATAAGTGTACGTGTGCGTGTGTGTGCGCGCACCTGTTCGTGCGGCGTGACGGCGCGGCGCGGCGCGTCCCGCCCCTCCAGCTTGAGCCGCTGTCTGTATGTGTACGTGTGCGTGTGTGTATAAGTGTACGTGTGCGTGTGTGTGCGCGCACCTGTTCGTGCGGCGTGACGGCGCGGCGCGGCGCGTCCCGCCCCTCCAGCTTGAGCCGCTGTCTGTATGTGTACGTGTGCGTGTGTGTATAAGTGTACGTGTGCGTGTGTGTGCGCGCACCTGTTCGTGCGGCGTGACGGCGCGGCGCGGCGCGTCCCGCCCCTCCAGCTTGAGCCGCTGTCTGTATGTGTACGTGTGCGTGTGTGTATAAGTGTACGTGTGCGTGTGTGTGCGCGCACCTGTTCGTGCGGCGTGACGGCGCGGCGCGGCGCGTCCCGCCCCTCCAGCTTGAGCCGCTGTCTGTATGTGTACGTGTGCGTGTGTGTATAAGTGTACGTGTGCGTGTGTGTGCGCGCACCTGTTCGTGCGGCGTGACGGCGCGGCGCGGCGCGTCCCGCCCCTCCAGCTTGAGCCGCTGTCTGTATGTGTACGTATGCGTGTGTGTATAAGTGTACGTGTGCGTGTGTGTGCGCGCACCTGTTCGTGCGGCGTGACGGCGCGGCGCGGCGCGTCCCGCCCCTCCAGCTTGAGCCGCTGTCTGTATGTGTACGTGTGCGTGTGTGTATAAGTGTACGTGTGCGTGTGTGTGCGCGCACCTGTTCGTGCGGCGTGACGGCGCGGCGCGGCGCGTCCCGCCCCTCCAGCTTGAGCCGCTGTCTGTATGTGTACGTGTGCGTGTGTGTATAAGTGTACGTGTGCGTGTGTGTGCGCGCACCTGTTCGTGCGGCGTGACGGCGCGGCGCGGCGCGTCCCGCCCCTCCAGCTTGAGCCGCTGTCTGTATGTGTACGTGTGCGTGTGTGTATAAGTGTACGTGTGCGTGTGTGTGCGCGCACCTGTTCGTGCGGCGTGACGGCGCGGCGCGGCGCGTCCCGCCCCTCCAGCTTGAGCCGCTGTCTGTATGTGTACATGTGCGTGTGTGTATAAGTGTACGTGTGCGTGTGTGCGCGCACCTGTTCGTGCGGCGTGACGGCGCGGCGCGGCGCGTCCCGCCCCTCCAGCTTGAGCCGCTGTCTGTATGTGTACGTGTGCGTGTGTGTATAAGTGTACGTGTGCGTGTGTGCGCGCACCTGTTCGTGCGGCGTGACGGCGCGGCGCGGCGCGTCCCGCCCCTCCAGCTTGAGCCGCTGTCTGTATGTGTACGTGTGCGTGTGTGTATAAGTGTACGTGTGCGTGTGTGTGCGCGCACCTGTTCGTGCGGCGTGACGGCGCGGCGCGGCGCGTCCCGCCCCTCCAGCTTGAGCCGCTGTCTGTATGTGTACGTGTGCGTGTGTGTATAAGTGTACGTGTGCGTGTGTGTGCGCGCACCTGTTCGTGCGGCGTGACGGCGCGGCGCGGCGCGTCCCGCCCCTCCAGCTTGAGCCGCTGTCTGTATGTGTACGTGTGCGTGTGTGTATAAGTGTACGTGTGCGTGTGTGTGCGCGCACCTGTTCGTGCGGCGTGACGGCGCGGCGCGGCGCGTCCCGCCCCTCCAGCTTGAGCCGCTGTCTGTATGTGTACGTGTGCGTGTGTGTATAAGTGTACGTGTGCGTGTGTGTGCGCGCACCTGTTCGTGCGGCGTGACGGCGCGGCGCGGCGCGTCCCGCCCCTCCAGCTTGAGCCGCTGTCTGTATGTGTACGTGTGCGTGTGTGTATAAGTGTACGTGTGCGTGTGTGTGCGCGCACCTGTTCGTGCGGCGTGACGGCGCGGCGCGGCGCGTCCCGCCCCTCCAGCTTGAGCCGCTGTCTGTATGTGTACGTGTGCGTGTGTGTATAAGTGTACGTGTGCGTGTGTGTGCGCGCACCTGTTCGTGCGGCGTGACGGCGCGGCGCGGCGCGTCCCGCCCCTCCAGCTTGAGCCGCTGTCTGTATGTGTACGTGTGCGTGTGTGTATAAGTGTACGTGTGCGTGTGTGTGCGCGCACCTGTTCGTGCGGCGTGACGGCGCGGCGCGGCGCGTCCCGCCCCTCCAGCTTGAGCCGCTGTCTGTATGTGTACGTGTGCGTGTGTGTATAAGTGTACGTGTGCGTGTGTGTGCGCGCACCTGTTCGTGCGGCGTGACGGCGCGGCGCGGCGCGTCCCGCCCCTCCAGCTTGAGCCGCTGTCTGTATGTGTACGTATGCGTGTGTGTATAAGTGTACGTGTGCGTGTGTGTGCGCGCACCTGTTCGTGCGGCGTGACGGCGCGGCGCGGCGCGTCCCGCCCCTCCAGCTTGAGCCGCTGTCTGTATGTGTACGTGTGCGTGTGTGTATAAGTGTACGTGTGCGTGTGTGTGCGCGCACCTGTTCGTGCGGCGTGACGGCGCGGCGCGGCGCGTCCCGCCCCTCCAGCTTGAGCCGCTGTCTGTATGTGTACGTGTGCGTGTGTGTATAAGTGTACGTGTGCGTGTGTGTGCGCGCACCTGTTCGTGCGGCGTGACGGCGCGGCGCGGCGCGTCCCGCCCCTCCAGCTTGAGCCGCTGTCTGTATGTGTACGTGTGCGTGTGTGTATAAGTGTACGTGTGCGTGTGTGTGCGCGCACCTGTTCGTGCGGCGTGACGGCGCGGCGCGGCGCGTCCCGCCCCTCCAGCTTGAGCCGCTGTCTGTATGTGTACATGTGCGTGTGTGTATAAGTGTACGTGTGCGTGTGTGCGCGCACCTGTTCGTGCGGCGTGACGGCGCGGCGCGGCGCGTCCCGCCCCTCCAGCTTGAGCCGCTGTCTGTATGTGTACGTGTGCGTGTGTGTATAAGTGTACGTGTGCGTGTGTGCGCGCACCTGTTCGTGCGGCGTGACGGCGCGGCGCGGCGCGTCCCGCCCCTCCAGCTTGAGCCGCTGTCTGTATGTGTACGTGTGCGTGTGTGTATAAGTGTACGTGTGCGTGTGTGCGCGCACCTGTTCGTGCGGCGTGACGGCGCGGCGCGGCGCGTCCCGCCCCACCAGCTTGAGCCGCTGTCTGTATGTGTACGTGTGCGTGTGTGTATAAGTGTACGTGTGCGTGTGTGCGCGCACCTGTTCGTGCGGCGTGACGGCGCGGCGCGGCGCGTCCCGCCCCTCCAGCTTGAGCCGCTGTCTGTATGTGTACGTGTGCGTGTGTGTATAAGTGTACGTGTGCGTGTGTGCGCGCACCTGTTCGTGCGGCGTGACGGCGCGGCGCGGCGCGTCCCGCCCCTCCAGCTTGAGCCGCTGTCTGTATGTGTACGTGTGCGTGTGTGTATAAGTGTACGTGTGCGTGTGTGCGCGCACCTGTTCGTGCGGCGTGACGGCGCGGCGCGGCGCGTCCCGCCCCTCCAGCTTGAGCCGCTGTCTGTATGTGTACGTGTGCGTGTGTGTATAAGTGTACGTGTGCGTGTGTGCGCGCACCTGTTCGTGCGGCGTGACGGCGCGGCGCGGCGCGTCCCGCCCCTCCAGCTTGAGCCGCACGCGCTTCCACACGCCCGCGCCCATCGCGTTGCGCTGCTCGCTGCCCACACCTGCAGTACACCACTCGCTTTACATCTCATCTTCTTTTTAATCAACCCTCAAAGTGCAAAGTCCTCTCTTTATATTATAAATAATAACAAAAGTTGCAAAAAATGTAATAAACATTTCCGCGTTTTTTATTTGCATGTCGTTTTGTATTTCATAAAAACATATTATTAAGTGGCGAAGCGTGCGAAGTCACTTATTGATTTCACGATGTCTTTTTGTTGATTGACTTCTGATTGCTGAAAACAGAATTTGAAAATTCGAAACCGTTCTTGAGATAATCGTGGGACAGACGGACAGACGGACAGACGAACAAACATCGTGAAATCAATAAGTGACTTCGCAAGCTTCGCCACTTAATAATAATGAAAGTTTCATAAAATATTTCCGTGTTTTTAATTTACATGCAATTTTGTATTTTATAAAAAAATATTATTTTAAGTTTATGACGAAAATAGCATGCGTATTTACATCTATAGTTCAACAGAAAAAAAAATGTTATAAAAACATTGAAAATTAAAATTTCTCAATTGTAATAATTTGTAATTCCGAATTATATTTCGACTAATAAAGATCGAATGGCTCTGAAAAAATCATAATGATAGAGAGATATATAAGAGATATACAAGAACTATATTTCGTATAAATTTCAAGTCATTTCACAAAGTATATTCTGAGAAAAAAATCAAAAAATGAAAAAAAAAAAGTTTTTCGTGGTCGCACGATAACTGAAGCAAAACCTTTTAAACAATTAAAATGTAAATTAAAGGAGAGAAATGTATTCTTAAATAAAAAATTACAAGCATTTCAAAATCACCAAAAAAACTTTTTTTTATTTTACGTGATTTTTTGTTTAAACTAACAATATACTATATAAAATATTTCAGTTATTTAATAAAGTAAACCCGAGTACTTAATAATAGAAACAATAACTTAGTTAGAAGAAAGCCACGTACCGATGTATTGGCAGCGATTTTCTTGTTTATTTAAATAATTTTTTATCAATAAACATGCATGCCATTTGTTATTGAAGTTTAAAATAATATTTACAGAGAATGTACAAAAAGGCCTGCAAAAAAAAAAACAGGGAAATGTTCCTTATTTTTATTTTCGTTAAAAAAATTTTTTTAATTTTATTTAAGCACAAGTTTTTTTATGTCAGGCTTGTGTAATATGCATGCCATTTTTTTATCAACTTAAAATAATGTTTTTTAATCAGATATTGAATGGCATGCAAAATCATCATCATCATCATCATTACAGCCTTTCGTAAGTCCACTGCTGAACATAGGCCTCCCCCAAGGAATGCCACAAAGCACCTGCATCCATCGACTTCCTGCATGTCTTACCAGGTCGTCACTCCATCTCGTGGGGGGTCGCCCTACACTTCGCCTACCGGTACGAGACTGCCACTCAAGAACCTTTCTTCCCCATCGGTTGTCGGTTCTTCGAGCTATATGGCCGGCCCACTGCCACTTCAGCTTACTAATCCGTTGGGCTATGTCGGTTACTCTGGTTCTACTGCGGATATACTCATTTCTAAGTTTATCACGCAGAGAAACCCCGAGCATAGCCCTCTCCATAGCTCGCTGAGCGAACTTTAGCTTCCTCATACGGCCAGCAGTGAAGGACCACGTCTCAGATCCGTAAGACATCACTAGCAACACGCACTGGTTGTACAATTTCGTTTTCAGGTTTTGATATATGTCTAACGAGAAGATGTGTCGTAGTTTACCGAACGCTGCCCAGCCGAGTTGAATCCGTCGATTGACCTCTCGGTCGAAGTTGGACTTACCTAGTCGGACTATTTGTCCCAGGTAAACATACTCGTCAACAACTTCGAGCTTAGTGCTCCCAACAACTACCGGCATAGGTACGAGTATGACATGGACGTTAAACATGATTTTTGTTTTGTCCATGTTCATCTTAAGACCTATCCATTGGGAGACACTATTGAGGTCATTGAGCATAGTGCTTAGGTCCTCCGGCGATTCTGCCATAAGGACTATATCGTCGGCAAATCGAAGGTGAGTGATGTACTCGCCATTGATGTTGATACCGCATCATTTCCAGTCCAGTTGCTTGAAAACGTCTTTCAATGCAGCGGTGAAGAGTTTCGGGGATATAACGTCACCCTGTCTGTCTTACACCTCTCTGCAGTTGGATAGGTTTCGTACTCTGATTCTGTACTCAGATAGCCATCGTAGCTCTACTGTACAAACACTTCAGCACTTCGATATAACGACAGTCAACTTGGCACCGCTGAAGGGAATGTAGCACCGCCTAAATTTCGACGAAATCAAAGGCTTTCTCATAGTCCACATACGCAAGGCAAAGTAGCAGATTATACTCCTCTGTCTTCTGTACAATCTGCCACAGGGTATGTATGTGGTCTATGGTACTAAAGCCTTTTCGGAAACCGGCTTGTTCGGGAGGCTGGAAGTCGTCAAGTCTGCGTGCGAGACGATTGGTAATGACTCTCGAAAACAGCACGTAGACGCGGCTCAGAAGGGAAATCGGTCTGTAGTTCTTCAAGAGATCGTTGTCGCCTTTCTTGAAGAACAAGACTACCGCACTTCTGTTCCACGCCTCCGGAGTAGTGCCACCATGGAGGACGGAATTAAAGAGCTTCTGAAGGACTTCAAGTACCGGTTTTCCACCCGCTTGCAGAAGCTCCGCTGTAATTCCATCCTCGCCCGGGGACTTGCCGTTTTTAAGGTGCTGGAGAGCCATTCTCATCTCGCTCAGACTGACGTTCGGGATATCTTCGGAATAGTGTCGGATAAGACTCGCTTTTGGATCGTTACTCACACTTGTGTGTGGCTCCAACGATGACGTGTACAGCTGCCCATAGAACCTCTCAATCTCACTCAAAATCTCAGGTGTCCCGGAAACGATGCTGCCACACTCGGTCTTCAGCCTTGACAGTTGGCTCTTTCTGGCAGACAGATCTCTGGCAAAAACTTTGGAGCCTTGGTTCCGCTCGGTCGCTTCTTCAATACAAGCTGTATTGAAGTTGCGTAAGTCCCGCCGCATGCATTTAGAGATCTGTCTGTTCAGTTGCCTGTATACTATCAAATCTGTTGAAGAATGTAGCTTCATCTCCCGTCTAACAGCCATGAGATTAAGAGTGTGATCGGAGAGTTTTTGTGTTCTTCTGCGGCGGGTCTTGCAAAACTTAGCTCCGACCGCATGGACAGTTTCCACGAGCTTGTCATTCATATCGTCCACTTCATTGCAGTCTTCTAGGCACTGAAAACGGTTTTGTAACTCGAGCTGAAAGGTTTCAGGATTTTAGAACAGAGCACGAGGGGGACGAGCGTTGACTTCATTAGACGAGACTTCTCCAACTTAACGTTTACGTTTAGTGTGCCTCTAACCATTCGGTGATCGCTACCAGTTTTCACCCTCGCGATTACGGAGACATCACTGAACAGTTGTCGTCTGGTCGTCATAGTGAAGTCAATCTCATTTTTTGTCGAACCGTCGGGGCTCGACCAGGTCCACTTCCTGTGGGGACGCTTCTGGAAGAAAGAGTTCATCATAAAGAGTCCCTCTTTCTCCATGAAGTCGGCCAGCTGCTGGCCCCTTGGGTACCGTTGCCCTATTCCAAATTTCCCTACTTTCAGCTCACCGTTCTCTCTTGTGCCTAGTTTTCCATTGAAGTCTCCCATTAACACCGTATAGTGGGTTTTGGAGGAATGCATGGCTCTAGAGATATCCTCATACATTTCCTCCACCTCCTCATGGGGATGTGCCGAGGTTGGTGCGTAAACCTGTATGACCTTCAGCTAATACCGTTTGGTGATTCTGAGTATAAGGTACGCAACCCTCGTCAACACACTCTCAATCTTTACAACGTTGTTAACGAGAGACTTGTGGACGATAAATCCGACACCTTCTTGGGACAGATGGTCGCCCTCCCGGTGATAGAGCAAGTTGTCGGATTCGAGGATTACCGTGTCCTCCCCCTCTCTTCGGACCTCGGATAATCCTATAATGTGCCAGCGTAACTTGTCTATCTCTTCGTCCAGCTCTACGATCTTCTCGTCAGTCCTCAGGGTGCGTGCGTTATAAGTTGCCAGGGCGAGTCGTCGTAGGTGGCAACCGAACTTCCACCGGAAATTCTTAGCACCCTTTGCCCCGCCGTTACCATAGGCGCCACCGTAGTCAGTAATAGCGGGGCCGCCGGGGACTGGGGGCCGTTTGTTCATTACTGTTATGGGGGTATATTGCCATAGTTGACACGCTTGTCGAGCGGGTTCGCAACCGCAGTTTTTTTTATTGCTGTTTTGCTATTATCAGAAAGATGCTGCTGCCCATCCTCTGCCTCAGTTTCCCTCTGTCGCCTCTTACGACACCCACGGGAAGATATGGGGTAGTGGATATTCTTAACCGCCACTACACGGCATGCAAAATAAAGTCACGGAAATTATAACAGCGTTTTTTGCAATTTTCGTCATGCATGCCACTACTTTACAACTTCCTGTTGTGCGTGCCAAATTTGCTAACGTCAATAAATTATAAAAATTAAGTATTGTTCAAATGGCATGCAGTTTGAAATCACGGAAAAGCTGTATTGAATTTTCACAACATTTTCCTAATATTTTCCACCCTGGTCATACGAGGGGTGCATGCCAATTTTCGTAGTCTTTTTGAGATTAATTAATTTACAACGACATGCAATTTGTAAACACGGAAATGTTCTATATTTTTTTTTTCATTTCTACGTAACCCTTTGAGCCCCGTCGGCCGTTGCGAATTGCATGCCATCAATTATTATAGCTTAAATTTGTTCCAACTACGTTATATTACGAAGGCATGCAATATAATGTCACGGAAAAATACTAAAATTCTTTACACAAAGAGAAGCCATTTTCTTTATGACGTGCAAGCGCGCAAGGGCTCGTAACCCTACTATCTTTCATATTTTAGGGTTACTTATCAATTCTTAAAAAGGCATGGTAAATGGCAAAGGTTTTTCATATCTGCTCCATACATTTATTTCGTTGTTTCGTAAAAAAATCATAAGTCCTCAGTTTTTAAGCCAAATTACTTCGTGTTACATTTTTGACCACAGCGATACTAAACAGAAGCCATTTTAACCTTAAAAAACGACACTTAAAACTTAAGAGCTCTATGTCTTCAAAACGCGATTTTCGATCCAGTGTGCACCGGACAGACAAACAGCCAGACAGACAGAAAATTAATAAATAAAAGTTGTTTATGTCTTAATAGCATACAAATAATCCCCGGAGTTTAAGCTAGTTATTTCAATATTACAGACAGACACTTCAATTTTATTTATATGTATAGATATACGGGATTTATTGCCAATGTTTAACATTCTTATAAAAAAAAAAGAACTTACCATGCTTTGAGTTCGTAGCGGGTTTAGGTGGTATGATGGCCACTTGTCTTGTTAGCTTGCGTCCGCTTTGCTCAGTCCACGTGTTAGGAAGACTGTGGAGTAAAAAATTTGGTAGAATTTTCGGGATATTCCCGGTGCAGTGGTCTTACTGGTAAGACTACTGAGAAAATTTCTTACCAATAATCTTACCGACCATTTGATAAGACTACGAGGGTGACACTGAAAGTTCTTAGAAAACAAAAACTGAACAAACTAGCAAGTTATTAGTTTTATTACATGTTTTCAAAATTGATGTATTAATGTATTGATGTAAATGAACACTCCATTTACATCAATACATCGCTGCATCCGATGGAACCTCTTAGAAAAGCACTTTGCCCACTCGTCCTTAGAAGAAGAGACCCCCTCTTCGACGGCATTTTGAAACGCAGCCACTGATTCTTTGGCGTCCATAAATCGTTTTTCTCGAAGTTCTTCTTTTATTTTAGGGAATAAATAAAAATCATGTTCGACAGAACACAGCATTTGAGTCACCTTCGTTTAATCTTTGAATCATTTGACGACACCAATCAACACGACGGAGTTTTTGGGCCTCTGTCAAATTATGAGGTATTCACCGGGCACAAAGCTTCCTGCAGTCATCGCCGTAGAAGGCCGTCCCTCATGCAGATCATCGGTTAGATTAGTGCAACCACGTTTAAACTCATTAAACCAGTTGTAAACAGTGGTACGAGATAGGGCTTCATCGTGAAGGACCAATCGAAGTCTCATAACTTTCTTGTTGACTTAAATGACATCGAAAGTCATAAAAAACCATTGTACGATAATTTTCTTGCGTTAAATTCATGCTGACGGGACACAGACAATTTTTAATTTGCCGCCAAATCGTAAACAAATGACAACTTATTAAAATACATACACAATAATATTTGCAAAGAGCTCCATTTTCAAAATTTGAACTTATTTTTTTTATTATATCGTTTACAGTTGGCCAGTTCTAAAAACTTTCAGTGTCGCCTTCGTACTGGGAGTTTTCTTACCTAGTAGACCTAACTGGTAAGTCCACTAGGGAAAAAATTCTCAGCAGTCCTACTCAATAAAATAGATGGGTTTTTGTCAGTACCTAGTTAAGTTTCTGAAGCGGTGCTGAAGCTTTTTAAAAATAAAAAATATGTGCATTTCATTACAATAATGAATTAAAACTATCAATAAAAATCCTTAACTAAGTGATTAGATTACTACTATGAGGACTATAATGAATATAAATCCCAATACAACGGCTTTTATAGGGTAGTAAAAACAAGTAAATTTACTGAAAGTATGACACCTTAGTTTAACCAGCAACAACAATTATACAGTGAAATCAGCGTCTTCTGTAACTTTACACTTCATAACATGTATGTTGTAATCTAATATCAAAAGCTTAGTCGATACAATTTGCTTGCGTATACCATGTTTACGAGTAATCTAATATCAAAATAGATTACTTTTAAACATGATTTACCCATTCTAACATCTAACATCATTTTTTACATGTTTAAATAATATTTAAAGTACACAAACAAATTAAATAAATGCGTCAAATCGACATTTTAATAAATTAATGTTAAAACACACAGAAATGCATATTGTATACGTTAAGTGTCATCCAAAGGTGTAGGTCCATAAGAGATAGTTTTAATAGTGTGGTAATCACTTACTCTTTGAGTGCGTCACGCAACGCAGGCAACTCTTGCATAAGTGTCGTGGCGGCGGCCACTGCCCCAGCTTCCGGTTCGGATATAACTTTCGCCAACAGATCTCCGGCCGCCCGCCATCTTGTCCAAATCTCGTGTGCGGGATCTTCAGTGATGCCTTGTATAGGTTGTATAGCTTGTAATGGTGCGCGAAGCTCTTGTTCAAGTTGCGCACGAGCTGTTGTTGGTGGCTCGAGCAGAGCGGCTGCGGTTCGCAGCGCACTCGCTGCGGAATCGCAGCGTTCCCGCGCCTCAGTCGCAGCAACGCTCAATCCGCTAGCCAATTCACGTACCAGCAGTGACACAGTTTCTACCTACATTAATAACGACCATGAGCTCGCAACAAAACAATATATTACTTGCAAAAATGATGAAATAAAAACGATTAATTTACCCATTGTGTGTCGATATTTCCTTCAGGATGTAACATCTCCATTAATGACTCTTCAACAGGCGACACTTGCAATGAATACTTTTGAGCCAACGTGCATGCCTAAAAAATAACAAAACGGTTGCTATCAGTTTCAAATAGGCTGTGTGATTATATCTATTTATGTATAATAAATGAGATGCAGCATATAATGATAGAGAGATGTACGTGCAGTAGTGGAATGCAGAGTAGTATAAGTTAGTGTAATGTAAAATAAAGTAGGCTAACATAATAATTATAATAATATCCTCCAGGCCGAATTTCGGTCACGGTGGCCAGTCTCAACGGAGACTAGTCATCGGTACAGGACAGAGTTACAACACGTAACATAATTAACGCACATCCTGAAAGTAGTTTGTTCAAAATCGTTTACTGAATCGATTATTCTATCGCTCTATTCACTCGCTCGCTCGCTCACTTCGCTCTATCATTTTTAATAAAGGTAATTTTTTACTACACTAAACCTGTGCAGTCAAAACAAACTGAAATGGACCGTAACTCAAGGCAATAAGATTTTTAAAAATGGAGTTTTATTTGTATTAATACAAATTTCGTCATTTAATACAAAATAAAGAAAACTGAACCTTATTTCAAGCACGTTAAAGTCTTTACAAATACAGAGTTTGGAGTGCCTTGGAAAGCTCGCGGCGGCCCTGTCCATTGGCCTCCCAGATCAGCTGATTTGACGCCTCTTGACTTTTTTTGTGGGGACGTATTAAATCATTAGTTTATTTTAGTGCGACAACAAGTGCCGAGGATCTAAAATAAGATAGTGAATGCTTTTAGAATAGTGAAAAATGACACTGAGTTGCTTACTAAATTAAAATATCATTTAATAAAACGGTCATTAAAATGTATTGAACAAGGTAGTGGACATTTTGAAAGTGTATTAAAATACAACGTTGCAAGAGAGTTTAGGCTATAAAGTAAGTTAATTATTTGATTCTAAAAATTATTGTAATCTTGATTCACATATTTTAAACATGCCGACTTTGAATTATGTTGTCGTATCGCCTCTTATATTTAGCAATTCATTATTATTTACAATTACAAATAAAATGTTATTCAAAATTCATAACATTTTGTAACGAATATTGGTTATTGATACTGTATCATAATCAATAAACAAAATTATTCAGTCGAAAGTACAAAGCGGCGGCGGCGTTAACTCGTCTCGAACGCGAGCGAATCCTACTAGGTTAGCAAGACCTTCATATGATCTGTACCTAGTGTTCGTGGATTTGTATGGTGACCACAACATTTTTCCGGAATTAGTATAATTAATTTAATTATAGTTTTTTAAAAGAATGAATGAATGAAAGAATGAATGAATGAATAAATAATCAATGCATAAACATGTTTACCTAAGAATTCAGTGTATGTATTATGATTATAACATAATATACTAATTGGGGTGTCGGAGGATGTGCGTTAATTACGTTAGATGTTGTAGTGTCAGAGTGTATGCGCAAGGACAGGTGCACTGTTTATTCCCTCATTCTCATAGTGTGATGCTTCGTTGGTCTAGTGATTGTTAACGTTACTGTTGATAATTAGGTCCCGGGTTCGAATCAAACCGGGTCGGACAAAAAAATTGTTATTGAGTTCGTTCGTCAAAAAAATCTCATTAGCTGCCCGGAGTCAGGAAGCCGGCGATATCTCTCGTTGTCAGTTAGGGTAATATAGTGCAATATAATTGTAGTATAGTGTAGTGATGAGTGCAATGCAGGTGCGTGGCGAGTACTTGGTCTCAGTGTAGTGTAGTGCAGTGCAGAGCAGAGTGCGGCGTACCTTCTCCCAGTGCGCGAGCGCGGTGCGCAGCGTGCGCGCGGCGCGCGGCGAGGCGGCGGCGGGCGCGGCGGGCGCGGCCAGCGCGGCGGCGCAGCGCGCGTGCGCGCCCAGCGCGGCGCCGGCCGCCGCCAGCCGGCTGGCGCGCGCCTGCTTGCCGGCCCAGCCCGCCTCCAGCGCGCGGACCACCGAGCGCAGCGCCGGGTTCGCGCCCGCTCCCCATTTCACCCTAAACAATTCTATACTAACTCTCCAGTCTCTCTGCGCATCCCAACTAATTGTGGAGACTTAATGCACAAGCTTAACACTTATCTGGGAAATTACATACTTAACCCAGAAGAAAAGAAATTGCTAACAACTAATTAACTCCTTCAATTCATTGAAGATATAAGTATTCAATTCATTGAATATAGAAAAACTCCTATTAAATTACATCCTACTACTTTTTAATTTTAATGTATCTTATCAGAAATCAAAATTTCGCAATGAAATCAGAATTACACCACTATTTAAATGAAATAACACTATATCAAATTTTTATCAAAATTATTTTTATTTATTTTTTAAAATATTAAGTATGTATTTGGGCAAGCGGTACATATCAACATTGAAAAGCATGCAAACACAATGGTAGCATAATCACAGAATAAATAATAGTAAAAGAACAGAAGAATCACTCTCTGATAGCAAACTTGCGAGTTTAAACCTAGTATCAACGTCGCTAATATGCATAATACTTTGCACGCCTCGGAAACAACCTTCATGAAATTAGCCTACGTCGAAACAAAAATTAATATGGCGCGCGTATTAAATCAAAATGCACCTTACGTCCGCGTGCCAGTGTCTGTATCACTTAGCCCGTAAGGCCGCTCCTACTGTAGAGTTAAGTGTTGTGAGAAAACAAATTGAATCCTTTGATATTAGTTGGTATATAATAGAATACACCGAGGTGTTATGCAATGTATTAGTAATTTTTTTTATTTTGTTAAAAAACGTTCCCCCCCCCCCACACACACACACTAGGATTTTGTCCTGTATCGTGAGATTCGAACCCGTGGCCCTTAGCGCTGCAACTCATTACTAAGCCACTGCACCACGGAGCCGTAACACAACACAAACACAAACATGCGACACGTGACTTTATTATTAGTGAAAGAGTAGCAATGAGAAGTGCTGTTATTTTCAATATCTTTCTTTTATCGACCAAGTGTTAAACTAATAACCAGTATATGCTGATCTTGCATTAGTAGGCAGTCACTTACGCCAGTGTCATAAATATTGTGTTGGCAGAATTTGTCGTGAAATCATTGACAGCCAGTATCTCATATTGTTCCATTTTACCACCTATTTTCAAATCCACATCATTATCCCGGTTTTGTAATTATTCAGAAGAAGTTGATTCATTAAAAATATACTGAATGATTTGCCTACTGTCGAATTCTTCATTTTTCTGATCAGTTGCAATCCGACAATTTCTTAAAATATTTGGTCACTCATATGCACGGGTCAGTATCCTATCTGAGTAAAGTATCCAATCCTACACTTCCAAATCACTTCCGTCCCATATCAGGTTTACCTTTCCTATCTGAAGTTTTGGAAGCCTGTGTTCATAAGAAAATTTCCAATTTCATATACATACATAAACTGCGGAGTACTTTTCAGTCGGGTTCCGTCCTGGTCACAGCACCACAACTGCCTTACTTAAAGTAACTGAGGATATTAGAAAAGGAATGGAAAACAAGAAAGTTACAGTTGTGATGCTCGTTGAGTTTTCAACGCTTTTAATTTACTCACAGTTGACGATGATATCATTCTTGCTAATCTAATCTAATCTTCTCTATTGTTATTAATTCCATCACACCCAATATTGATTGTTCGTACCATATGTATGCTGATGACCTACAAATTTATTTATAGTCTAACATCCATAATGCGTTTGACAAATTGAATTCCAATCTCAAGTCAGTCCATGATTAGTCCACCCACCCTACGAAATGCTAAGCGGTGATTATATGTAGCTCAAGAATGCTTTCAAGAATTGATACTGCGAGCCTACCTTCCGTCTATTGTAATAATCGCTTACTACCGTTCTCTTCTTCAGTTGAAAATCTTGGTCTCCATATTCATAGTACTCTCGAGCTCTGACGGCGGTTCATACCTCTGAAATATGTCGTAGTCTTTGGTGCTTTACGTTCTCTTTATCGCTTGAAAATTTTTCTTCCTTTTAATACTAAAATTATGCTTGTACAGTTACTTATACTACCGAATGTTGATTATGCAGACGTGTGTTACCCGGATTTAGACAAAAATCTTCTTAACAAGGTAGAGCGCCTTCTCAACAATTGCATCAGATACATTTTCAATCTTCGATAATAATATGATCATATCTCTCACTATCGCTCTCGCTTGTTCTCTAGACTACTCTAGAATTTTGCTTGTTCTCTTCTCTATCTGAAATGATCCATCCACTTCTTCTTATCTCAAGGACAAATTTCAGTATATTTCCTCAACGCACGATAGAACTCTGCGTTCCTCGTCTAATAATAAAATAAGTATCCCACTACATTTTACTAATTTTGTTGGTAAATCCTTCTGTCTGTGAAACTTTGTCAACTTGTTGCTTGCACTTGCGCGAAGGTTATAAGCATAGTTGGCCTCGGTAGATGGTCCGTGCGATGCCGGGGCATATCGCTAGTCACTTATAAAATATTACAATTTTGAGCACATTGTTATTTAATGATTACCTAATCTTTATCCTCTTATATGGCTATTCGTAATGGTACTTTTACCTGAAATTACAACGTAGTTATTTTGTGGCGTAAATATTACTCTTCGACTTTATCATCAGAGATTAATTAAAAAAAAGTTTACATAAGCATAAGATTTTTTGTGTGGGTTTCATACAAAATTTAAAATGTTAAGGGGATAGTGCACGCAATAGAGGGAAGGCGGGAGGTGCTCTTCAAACTAGGTAAGACACATCATTTTATTTTATCTAGCGGTTGTACGCAAAGTAATTTTTACCAACTTTAATAAAATTTTAATTGTCAAAGAAGTCTTCCAGACGTGTCAAATTTCTAAAATAACCACCCCCTTGTGTGTGGAGTTGTTGTGTATTCTTTATTATTCATAAAGATTGTTTCTTACTAAAATATTTATTTTTATCGTTTGTGTTAACTCAATTGATTTTCAGGGTAAACGAAGCTAACTTTTGCTTAAAATTTTCCCTCTTTGTAATATGCCTATACAATATTAAGCTAATAAATTTGTAATATTTTGTACAAATAATACAAAGCATGTATTTATAGATATGTCATTAAGTTTAGAGCTGAACACAAAAATTATGATATTTCCCGCATAATTGGGTACCAGAAGGGCGGGAGTGAGTTACTCTTCGGAAGAAGCACCTCGTATAATTATGATAGAACTTCACATATTATCAATGAGAAAACATCATAAATCGCTATATACATTCCTGTGCCTCGATATTTTGTCGTATATACATCGGAGACGATATATCGTTATCGAGTCGGCGAAAGAAAAATAAAAGGCTCTAACTTGTATATTAAAGATTGAGTTACGCACAAAGGACGTAGATACAATGCTAATGCGCGCGTAATGTCGTTCGTATGCCTATTATCACTATCGCTCAGAGATATAAATTACTCCGTCTGCATGAGATCTCACATTTCAATAGACCCTGATAAATCTTGTAAAATACAGAAATGGAAATGCCTAATTTTGGCCACGAGACGCCAAACAATTTGCATTTGTTAATAAAATACATCTTTTTATGGTTACTAATCGCGGTATTCATTTATCCAAAAAAAGATTGCAACATTTGTTGTTTTTGTAATAACAAAAAAGTACCGAAAAGACAAAAATGAAATTAGGTAAATCCGTAATTCATTACTTTATGGATAAAATAAAGTGTTGCCAATTACAAATCTCGTTAAAAATCGATTCCCTTTTTTCGATCGATTTTTTTTTGGTGTCATTATTATAATGCTAATATTATTTTTCGATAATTATTATGATTTTAAGATAATAAAACAAGCGAATTGCTAGTTGATTTACCGTGAATTCTTTACAACATAACCAAACACGCAGGCACGGCATCAGACTAATATTTTGCCTCCTGCTCAATTTCTGGATGACGTACTGATTGTGTATGATACAAATGATGTATAAGATCATAAAATATCTTACAGATCTGATCAAAACTTGATTATGTATATATGCATATATACTGTAAAATTATTGTTAAAAAACTATATTTCTGAAAACCGTTATATCTTAAAAAATCCGGCCTTTTTTAAACAAATTCTTTATTAAGTTCATTCTTATAATTGCATATTATCATTTCTATATGCTTTTGTAAGTGTGCACCCATGGGCGAAGTGTCTATGAACGGTAGGCATTCCCCTTTGAGAAAATATGCTATTTCAATTATTTTTTAAATTTATTCTAATATATTCTACATGAGTTACAAAGGGTTATCGTTTATTTAGGCATCCTTGGTACGCAGATCCCATTTTATTTCTCACTTGAATAACTTTGTTATGCAAAACCTTTTACTTAGATGAAATCTCTAGGCCAAAAACAAATGCAAAACCTAAAGTAAATAACATATTAAGATAAAACTTGTATGGTGATGATAGGATATATCTTGCATTATTTTCATTCAAAACCTGATAATAATTAAGTTAAGAATAATATGTTCTAGGAAATATACAACTATAATTTGTCGTTATATATAATTTTTTTTTTTCGATTTTAAAAACCTAACTAATTAGCGACATAGGTGAAGTTTGTGATATTTTTAACAAATATTTTTCTACTATAGGTTCTCTATTAGCAAAGAAAATACCTAACAAATATCACGATAGTACCTTGAATCCTGATTTCATACAACAAAAAATAAACGATCATAAACTGTCTGCCTTTACCCCATGTAATGCAAATGAAATAAATCAAATTATTCAAAACCTAAATCCCAATACTAGTAGTGGAATAGACAAAATCAGCACAAAAGTCCTAAAATGTTTACAAAATCTAATCTCTGAAGGCCTGGCACATTCAATAAACAAACTTATGACTGATGGCGAATTTCCCGACACCTTGAAGGTTGCAAAAGTAACACCAATTTACAAATCCGGGCCCACAACTGACCCAGGAAACTACCGCCCAATTTCTGTACTACCAGTATTGTCGAAAATCCTAGAAAAAATAATACATAACCGTTTATCAAGTTACCTCGATTCCTTTAACTTTATATTTCCACGTCAGTAACCATACTGACATGGAAATTCGGTCAAAAAGCAATACAACTGCAGCAATAGTAGATTTAACAACAAAAATAAAAGAAAACCTGGATAAAAAAGGATTTCTCTAGGCATTTACATCGACCTGAAAAAAGCCTTTGACACCGTAAGTCACCAGTTACTTTTAAAAAAGTTAGAGCACATTGGTATCAAAGGTAGTGCCCTTAAAATGTTTGAGTCGTACCTAACAAATAGATTACAGATAGTCAAAATAGATAATAACCAAAGTAATACACAACCCATTACATGTGGTGTCCCACAAGGGTCCATATTGGGGCCGCTTCTTTTCCTTATCTATGTTAACAATATAACGGATTTAAGACTACACGGCCATTTAACTTTGTACGCGGACAATACATGCCTATTCTATTTCGGTACTAGTATGGACGAAATCATTTCAAAAGCTCAAGAAGACCTTAACATATTGTTTGAATGGTTTCAGTCCAACCTGTTAACAATCAACATCTCAAAAACATGCTATACTATCTATAAGTCGAAAAATAAAATAATTCCTTCGCATGCTCCTTTAACAATTGACAATATTCCACTCGAACAAAAAACTTGTGAAAAATATCTTGGTCTGAGAATGGATAGTAATTTAACATGGAACAAACAGATAGAATATATAAAAAGCAAATTATCGTCCCCAAACAGGTTTACTCCGTAACATAAATCAATGTATACCTAGAAAACTACGTTTCAATATCTACAATTCCCTTATCAAATCACATATATTATATTTAATAGAAATATGGGGCAGTGCCGCCAAAACGAAATTGCAGGAACTACAAAGAGCTCAAAATAAAGCAATAAAATACTTTTCTCCTACCCATACTTAACATCGAGTCATAAAATTTTTGATGACACAAAAATAATGAACATTAGACAACTTTATTTATATAGCACTTGCATTTTAATTAGGAAGATCATGAATAAGACCATCCAAACTAGTTTGTCCTTTACCAAAAAGTCACAAATATCAAAACGCAGTCTTCGCCGACCTAGCTTGCTCGTATTGCCAAAGACACGTACCAAATTAAGGAAAAAAATATTACCTTTGAGGGAGTACACTTTTATAACAGCCTACCTTCTCATATTAAAAATATAGATTCCTTTAACAATTTCAAGTCTCAATTGCGCAACTACATTGATGAAACTGAGAAGACGGTGACCGCTAACTAGATTAAGTTTATATTATTGTTCTCATGTAAGTGGATTTTGTAATCTTTTTGTGAGAATAAATTCTTTAAACCTAAACCTAAACCTATTTTTTATGTACAGTAATAAAAGAAAATTTTGGCGAATTAAGTTTTTTCTACACAGAATAGAATAGGAATAATTTTTTATTCAATATAGATTATAAATAATTCTTACTGAAAGTAATTTTTACTTTTACCACACATTCGGCAAAATATCTCTATCCTGGAAGGAACAAGCAAGATAACCCGCGGGATTTTTGTCCAAGGCAGCGTTATACCATAAAACAGGCTGCACAATTACTTACATAACTTATTTAGGAAACACCTTGGAAGCGATCGCCTTATTCCCAGTATTTATTATCAGCATGTATAAATTATAATAATAAGCCTTTTCATGATTTCGTTTCATTAAAAAAAAAATGCGTGAGTGTCGAGGAACACTCGGTTGAAACGAAGTATATTATTATTGATAAACGTAGGTATCATATTATTGATTAACAAATACAAATAAATGAATCATCATCAAAATGAAGCGTCATTTGAAAAATAATATTTCTTTCATGGCAAGATAAGAAAAGTGCGAGGGAGATGGATATTATTCCATCTCACTTCCTTATTTCGCCGCCAAGGCCGTCTACACTATAACACAAGGGGTCGTGACAAAAAAATCTTACACTTTTTATCGCCTAGCTCCCATCTACCAAACCCGTACCTTCCGATAAGGAACTTCGTTCCAATTAAGCTTCGTAATAAACAGTTTATATAATTCGTCTTATAAATTTTATACACAAGTTTTGTTGCCGTTTAAAATAAATAATCTTTAAAAGGTTAACGTTAAAGTAATATACAAATTTTAGTAAAGCATTATCCACTTTCTTCAAATTTAAACGATTACCATTTAAGTTTAAAAACCAATAAAGTATTATCAGTAACTTTATATCATATCCTACAAGGTAATGTAAGAAATTAATATAAACTAAATATAGGAATAGACCGAGAATGAAGTCTTGAGCCATCCATTCAAACAGGTGAACCCGTGAAACCTTTTACCTTAGATTTAAGCGTTATGATCTTTGCACCATAACGCCGTAACCTCCTGATAAATGTCACATGCTGAACACAGTCGAAGGCCACAAAATATTAAATATACCCTAAATAGCTCCCATGTACAGAAAATAACTTTAATCAGCTCGACGCCGGCATCATTGTCGAGTGGCTCGTCGCAATGATTTTTGCAGCAATTTATTTATATTACAAAAATAGACTTAATAGGTATATTTTTTTTTTTAATTTTACTCAATGTGGCTAGTAATGAAGTTGGTATTTAACTGTCGAGATTTAATGTACTACCAGATTTGAATAAAGGTATGGCATTATAATGTTTCGTTACATCAGGAAAGACACCAGATTTGATGGCTGGATTTCACATAATTATGGTTAGGTAAAGTGCAATTTTATCTATTTTGGACGCAATTACTTTGATGTAAATCCCCCATAATTCTGCGGTTTTCTATGGGACATTTGTCCTTACTGCTGGTTATAAGAATGAAAGCCAAAATCTAAAAAATAAGCTTTTCTCAGAATTCCTCCTAGTCCTAGGAGTAGTGGTGCTGGGATTAGTGGTGATGGAGATAGTGCACGCAATTGAGGGCAGGTGAGAGGTGCTCTTCAAACTAGGTAAGACACATCATTTTATTTTATCGAGCGGATGTACGCAAAGTAATTTTTACCAACTTTCATTTTAAAAACAGACTGCACTAAAAGTGGAGTACAATTTGAAAATATACTTACCAACGATAGTTGTAATATAAAAATGTGGTAATGGAAAAATTAATTCATGTCAAAAGTAGATAACAAATCAGTTTATCTGGAATAAGAAACTGACATAATATTATAACAGCACATTCACATCTACTAAATTATTTTGATGAAAGTGTAGATATTGTAGTGGCATTCCTTTGGGGAGGACTTCAGCAGTGGACTTGTGAAGGGCTGTACTGATTATGATAATGATGAAACAGAAAGTGGTGTCGGTGTTACCTCTGATGAGCGGAGGTAACTAACGCCTGTACTTTGCTGCAGGCGGCCGTCAGCCGCTCCACAGCCGCGCATAGCTCGCGCGAACGACGCGACAACGCTGGACTTGGATCTTGGCTGTTGTTCAAAACCTGCGGATAAAATTAACTGATTGAAAAAAGAGAAAAGTAAACAAAACCTAAACCAAACCCAAAAAACAAAACCTTGTAGTGGCGTAATATCCATTATCACATATCTTCCCGTAGGTTTCGTAGGAGACGACAGAGGGAAACTGAAAGAGGAGATGGGCAGCAGCATCTTCCTTATAACAAGTAAAAATAATAAAAATTTGCGTTTGCGAAACCACCTGCCAAGCGTGGAAACAATGGCAAAATCCCCCATAAGGCAATCTATGGCAAAGGCCTATGTCAGCAATGGACTTTTGATTGTACTGGTTGTAATGGATGGATGGATGGATGGATGGAAACAAATGTAGAAACCAAATACAAATAGTATTATTATTTTAAGCTTATTAAAAAATTACTGACATCCATAAATAATAGAAACAAAATTGGTCCACGGTGGGAGCCTTAGGGTACTTGCTACGAATGTAACAAATATAAAAAATACTATAGAAAATTAATTGACACCTGTTCGTTTAGGCCTTTGTTCATACGTAGTCTATACAACTCATTTTTATATTGATTGTAGTAGTGTGCACCATAGTACCAATGTTTCAGGTCGCGGTACATGTGGCCGCTTGCAGCGCGCCGCCAGTGCCGGTCCGGAGCCGGTCCGGTGCCGGTACGTACCTGGCGGTGCAGGTGCGCGTGCGCGGCGGCGCGCAGGCGTGCGGCGCGCGCGGCGGCCCGCGCTCGCGCCACGCGGCGCTGGCACGCGGCGGCGCGCTGCAGCCGCGCGCTGGCCGCCTGCAGCGCGCCGCCAGTGCCGGTCCGGTGCCGGTACGTACCTGGCGGTGCAGGTGCGCGTGCGCGGCGGCGCGCAGGCGTGCGGCGCGCGCGGCGGCCCGCGCTCGCGCCACGCGGCGCTGGCACGCGGCGGCGCGCTGCAGCCGCGCGCTGGCCGCCTGCAGCGCGCCGCCAGTGCCGGTCCGGTGCCGGTACGTACCTGGCGGTGCAGGTGCGCGTGCGCGGCGGCGCGCAGGCGTGCGGCGCGCGCGGCGGCCTGCGCTCGCGCCACGCGGCGCTGGCACGCGGCGGCGCGCTGCAGCCGCGCGCTGGCCGCCTGCAGCGCGCCGCCAGTGCCGGTCCGGTGCCGGTACGTACCTGGCGGTGCAGGTGCGCGTGCGCGGCGGCGCGCAGGCGTGCGGCGCGCGCGGCGGCCCGCGCTCGCGCCACGCGGCGCTGGCACGCGGCGGCGCGCTGCAGCCGCGCGCTGGCCGCCTGCAGCGCGCCGCCAGTGCCGGTCCGGTGCCGGTACGTACCTGGCGGTGCAGGTGCGCGTGCGCGGCGGCGCGCAGGCGTGCGGCGCGCGCGGCGGCCTGCGCTCGCGCCACGCGGCGCTGGCACGCGGCGGCGCGCTGCAGCCGCGCGCTGGCCGCCTGCAGCGCGCCGCCAGTGCCGGTCCGGTGCCGGTACGTACCTGGCGGTGCAGGTGCGCGTGCGCGGCGGCGCGCAGGCGTGCGGCGCGCGCGGCGGCCCGCGCTCGCGCCACGCGGCGCTGGCACGCGGCGGTGCGCTGCAGCCGCGCGCTGGCCGCCTGCAGCGCGCCCGCCAGCGCGGCGCCACGCTCCGCCACACGCGCCGCTCCGCCCCCGACCGCCTTCTCACACAGCGACTCCAGCGACACGCTCCACGACGCGCCTGCGACAACGCTACACGTTACGACCGCGTATTGATATTGGCTGTAGTGGCATAATATCATGTATTTCGTGATTTGTTTTATTATTAAGTAATAGGTCTTTACCTATGAAATAGCCGTTCTGCAGTAATAATGTCTTCCAGACCGAATATCGGTCACGACGGCCAGTCTCAACGGAGACTAGCTCGGCGCAGGACAGGATTACAGTGCTCAAGTGTATGCAAACACAGGTGCACTCTCTATTCCCTCACTCTCAAAGTCCGATGGGACGGTAAACCGACACGACCAGAGAGAAATCAGGCGCAAGACCAACGGCTTTACGTGCTTTCCGAGACACGAGGGTGAGACACCGCCAACTTCCTGACTCCGGGCAGCCACTGAGAATTTCTTGATGGAAAAACTCAATAAATCTTTTTTTAGGCCCGACTTGGGATTCGAACTACTACAACAGTCGCACTACTACAACCACTAGACCATCGAGGCAGTACAACCAGTAAAATTGAAATGGCCAGTACTGCCATTCTGCAGTACTGGGCATTTGAAATCAAAATAATTTTTGTATGACTAAAAATTCTATCATTCATCATCATCATTACAGCCCTTCACAAGTCCACTGCTGAACATAGGCCTCCCCCAAAGAATGCCACAAAGCACGGTCCTGAGCCACCTGCATCCATCGACTTCCTGCATGTCTTACCAGGTCGTCACTCCATCTCGTGGGGGGACGCCCTGCACTTCGCCTACCGGTACGAGGCTGCCACTCGAGAACCTTTCTTCCCCATCGGTTGTCGGTTCTTCGAGCTATATGGCCGGCCCATTGCCACTTCAGCCTACTAATCCGTTGGGCTATGTCGGTTATTCTGGTTCTACTGCGGATATCCTCATTCCTAAGTTTATCACGCAGAAAAACTCCGAGCATAGCCCTCTCCATAGCTCGCTGAGCGACCTTGAGCTTCCTCATACGACCAGCAGTGAAGGACCACGTCTCAGTTCCGTAAGTCATCACTGGCAACACGCACTGGTTGTACAATTTCGTTTTAAGGTTTTGAGGTATGTCTGACGAGAAGATGTGTCGTAGCTTCCCAAACAATACCCAGCCGAGTTGAATCCGTCGATAGACCTCTCGGTCGAAGTTGGACTTACCTAGTCGGACTATTTGTCCCAGGTAAACATACTCGTCAACAACCTCGAGCTTAGTGCTCCCAACAACTACCGGCATAGGTGTGACATGGACATTAAACATGATCTTTGTTTTGTCCATGTTCATCTTAAGACCTATCCGTTGGGAAACACTATTGAGGTCATTGAGCATAGTGCTTAGGCCCTCCAGCGATTCTGCCATAAGGACTATATCGTCGGCAAATCGAAGGTGAGTGATGTACTCGCCATTGATGTTGATACCGTATCCTTTCCAGTCCAGAAGCTTGAAAACGTCTTCCAATGCAGCGGTGAAGAGTTTCGGGGATATGACGTCACCCTGTCTTACACCTCTCTGCAATTGGATAGGTTTCGTACTCTGGTTCTGTACTCGGATAGCCATCGTAGCCCTACTGTACAAGCACTTCAACACTTCGATATACCGAGAGTCAACTTGGCACCGCTGAAGGGACTGCTGCACCGCCCAAATTTCGACGGAATCAAAGGCTTTCTCATAGTCCACATACGCCAGACATAGTGGCAAATTGTACTCTTCGGACTTCTGTACAACTTGCCGAAGGGTATGTATGTGGTCTATGGTGCTAAAGCCCTTTCGGAAACCGGCTTGTTCGGGAGGCTGGAAGTCGTCAAGTCTGCGCGCGAGACGATTCGTAATGACTCTCGAAAACAGCACGTAGACGCGGCTCAGAAGGGAAATCGGTCTGTAGTTCTTCAAGAGAGCGTTGTCACCTTTCTTGAAGAACAAGACCACCGCACTTCTGCTCCACGCCTCCGGTGTAATGCCACCATGGAGGACGGAATTAAAGAGCTACTGAAGGACTTCAAGTACCGGTCTTCCACCCGCTTTCAGAAGCTCCGCTGTAATTCCATCCTCGCCTGGGGCCTTACCGTTTTTAAGGTGCTAGAGAGTCATTCTAATCTCGCTCAGACTGACGTCCGGGATATCTTCGGAATAGTGTCGGATGAGACTCGCTCTTGGATCGTTACTCACACTTGCGTGTGGCTCCAACGATGACGTGTACAGCTGCCCATAGAACCTCTCAATCTCACTCAAAATCTCAGGTGTCCCGGAAACGATGCTGCCACATTCCGTCTTCAGCTTTGACAGTTGGCTCTTTCTGGCAGACAGATCTCTGGCAAAGACTTTGGAGCCTTGGTTCCGCTCGATCGCTTCTTCAATACGAGCTGTATTGAAGTTGCGTAAGTCCCGCCGCATGCATTTGGAGATCTGTCTGTTCAGATGCCTGTATGCTGTCAAGTCTGTTGAAGAATGTAGCTTTATCTCCCGTCTAACAGCCATGAGATTAAGAGTGTGATCGGAGAGTTTTTGTGTTCTTCTGCGCCGGGTCTTGCAGAACTTAGCTCCGACCGCATGGACAGTTTCCACGAGCTTGTCATTCATATCGTCCACTGCATTGCAGTCTTCTAGGCACTGAAAACGGTTTTGTAACTCGAGCTGAAAGGTTTCGGGACTTTGGAACAGAGCACGAGGGGGACGGAGCGTTGACTTCATTAGACGAGACCTCTCCAACTTAACGTTTAGGTTCAGTGTGCCTCTAACCATTCGGTGATCGCTACCAGTTTTCACCCTCGCGATCACGGAGACATCACTGAACAGTTGTCGTCTAGTCGTCATAATGAAGTCAATCTCATTTTTTGTCGAACCGTCGGGGCTCGACCAGGTCCACTTCCTGTGGGGCCGCTTCTGGAAGAAAGAGTTCATCATAAAGAGTCCCTCTTTCTCCATGAAGTCGGCCAGCTGCTGGCCCCTTGGGTTCCGTTGCCCTATTCCAAATTTCCCTACTTTCAGCTCACCGTTCTCTCTTGTGCCTAGTTTTGCATTGAAGTCTCCCATTAACACCATATATTGGGTTTTGGAGGAATGCATGGCTCTAGAGATATCCTCGTACATTTCCTCCACCTCCTCATCGGGGTGTCCCGAGGTTGGTGCGTAAACCTGTATGACCTTCAGCGAATACCATTTGGTGATTCTGAGTATAAGGTACGCAACCCTCGTCGACACACTCCCGATCTTTACAACGTTGTTAACGAGAGACTTGTGGACGATAAATCCGACACCTCCTTGGGACAGATGGTCGCCCTCCCGGTGATAGAGCAAGTTGCCGGATTCGAGGATTACCGTGTCCTCCCCCTCTCTTCGGACTTCGGATAATCCTATAATATGCCAACGCAACTTGTCTATCTCTTCTTTCAGCTCCACGATCTTCTCGTCAGTCCTCAGGGTGCGTGCGTTGTACGTTGCCAGGTCGAGTCGTCTAAGGTGGCAACCGAACCTCCACCGGAGATTCTTAGCACCCCCTGCCCCGCCGTTACCATGGTCGCCACCGTAGCCAGGAATAGCGGGGCCGCCGGGGACTGGGTGCCGTCTGTTTGTTGCTTGAGTCATTGGGGGGTATTTGCCATAGTTGCCACGCTTGGCGAGCGGGTTGGCAACCGCAATTTTTTTATTGTAATTTTGGCTATTATCAGGAAGATGCTGCTGCCCATCTACTGCCTGTTTCCCTTTGTCGCCTTTTACGACACCCACGGGAGGATATGGGGTAGTGGATATTCTAGACCGCCACTACACGGCACAAAATTCTAATTTCAAATTAATTTTCTTTTATAAACATGAAATTCTTTTTTCAAAGTTACTCATTTGTTGATCGATTAGCAATATCTTTTCATCACATTTGAATTTTTTTCGTCATCATGAATACGTTAAAGAACGCGGCACAAACGGCACGCAACATCAACGACGCTTACGGAGCGGATAGTACAAAGAAACACACGAACTTTTATTGGTTTACCCGCTTCCGTTCTGGAAATTTCGACCTCAAAAATGAACCCCGTGGTCGTCCGAAAACTTTGATCGACAATAACGAATTAAAGGAATTGTTGAAACTGATGATACTCAATCTACGACTGAATTAACAGCAGCGCTCGACGTCACAGTCCAAAAATATTGGACCATTTGCGTCAAATTGGTAAGGTTCTCGAACACAATGATCGCCAGCGCCAAGTACTCGTGGAGACATGCCTTGCATTGCTCAACAGGCACACAAACGAAGATTTTTTTGGTTTTGTTACCTACGGCGAAAAATGGATTCCGTTTAACAATCTCAAGCGCTCAGCAAGTTATTTGGATCCTGGCTCAGCACCTAAACAATAACCTAAATAAAAACTTATCCCTAGAAAAGTGATGGTAACTGTTTGGTGGTCTAGCGCCGGTGTGATGCATCACAGCTTCTTACCAAACGGGATGAGCATTACTACATGTGTATTGAACAGAACTAAACACAGTTATGGATAAGCTCGTACGTCTCTGACCAGTTTCGGTCAATCTCTCGTCCCCGCTTCTCCTGCAAGAAAATGCGCGACATACTGCACAACAGACGGTCTCCAAGTTACGAGTGTTGAGGTTGGTCCGCCGTACTCACCAGACAAAGCGTCTACAGACTTCTAATTTTTACAGAATTTAGACTTTTTGGCGGGAAAAAAAATTCAATACCCGAGAGGCAGTACAAAATGTTAAAGAATTTATCCCATCCATTATGTCGTCAGTGGTGTGTCTTGCCTAGTGTAGTGGTGTTGGGAGTAGCGGTGCTGGGATTAGTGGTGACGGGGATAGTGCACGCAATTGAGGGAGGGCGGGAGGTGCACTTCATACTAGGTAAGACACATCATTTTATTTTATAACGCGGATATTTGCGAAGTAAATTTTTCTAAAAGCTTTTATATAATGGATTTCCGCAAAGTAACGCCTGATTCTATTAATTATATTAGAAACGCTTTATGCCAAAACCAATCAAAGGCCTTCGCTATGTCCACACTAAGCGCCAAGGTCTCCCCTTTGGACTTGAAAGCCTACGCCCATCGGTGTATTAGGTAAACAAGAAGATCACCAGCTGAGCAACCCCGACGGGAACTGTACTGGCGGGCACTAATCAGCTGGTGCTCCTCAAGTTATCGCATGAGATGGCAGTTAATAATGGACCCTATTATTTTCGAGAACAAGGAGGTGATGGCGATAGGCCTGTAATTGGACGGATTAGAGCGGTTAACTTTTTTAGGGATCGGATACACGAAAGTCTTCCATAGGAGTACCGGAAAACGCGTTAGTACCGGTCGGTGCCCACTCTGGAGTACTCTCATCATAATTAGGGGGATTCCGTCAGGCCCACTCGACTTGTGGAAGTCCAGGGAGAGGAGTGCTTTGCGTACTGAGCACTGTTTGAATCGCACATCAGGATTAGAGCACTCACACCGCGGGTTGTTCAGCGATGTGTTCCCCCGTCATCGAGAGTCGAGTTTTACGCAAAAAGGGAACCTAAAAGGTCGGCTTTCTCTTTTGCGGAGTGAGCCAGTAAGTCGTTCTCCCTGTGCAGAGATGGAAGTGATGACTTACAGAAATTTCCTTGAACAGCCTTGGGGAGAGACCAGAATGCACGGGTTCCCGAAGGAAGGCGAACCAATTTCGCACTAATTCTGCCAAAGTGCTCATACTTTGCCTTGGCAATAACTCTTTTGAAGGACCTGGAGACGAAGTTATACTACTTTTTAAGGATGCTGGTATTTTCATCCCGAGCCGCCGAACATCACCCCAGGCCTGAAAACACTCCTGCTTACTGCGTAATGCAGTCTTACAGGAGCGATCAAACCAAGGCTGATTATGCCTCTGATGGGTACCACAGATTATGGTATAAATAGTTCTATTCCTGAAGCACCACATCAGTGACAGAATCAGCAATAGCGCTGGGGTCATCCGGCGAGAAGCAACCGCATCCCGTCCCAATCCGCGGACCTGTAATGCCAAACACGGCAGAAGCGTGCTGAATACAAGTGCGAAGGGAGCGTGAGTGGCAGCACACTCCGAATCAGACAGTGTTCTTCGAGAGGGGCGTCGACGGAAACCTTATATCCGTCCGGATGAGAGGTCAGCAGAAGGGCCAACAGGGAAGATGCACGATCCTCCACATCTGGAATCCACGTAGACGAAGTAACCAGTTATGTTATATCAGATTATAAGCCAAGGCAAAGTCATATAAACAGGTCTCCCCGCATGATCGATTAAACGTAAACCGAGCCATTCGGCGTGGTGGGTATTAAAATCGCCAAGTATCACGATGGATAGAAACTAAAAATCCAAGCTTAAAACATAATGTATCGAAGGATAAAAACCCCGGCTCGAAAATATATTATACGGAAATGATTATATTCTTTTGACCTTAAATATTGATTTTTAGTTTGAGATTTAAGATTTATTTTTAAAACCATTCGGTGATCTAAGAAATATCACAAGTAAAAATAGAATGTCGTTTAAATAATTACATTAAAACTTCATCCCTATATTAAATATATAATTATCTATACATTTATACCACCCCTGAAGTAAACTATTTAATATAATTTAGAATTTAATATTTTGTACAACCCACTTCAATATAAATTATTAAGAATAACTCAAAAACTATTGGTCAGACCTTAATCAAATTTATATGGGACCACATGAAAAGCACCAGCTTTCAAATAAAATATGAATCATTAAAATCGGCTTACCCAAAAAAAAAGTTATGAGGTAACACAAAGAGTGTTCCAATGGATGTTAAAAAATTACCGTCCAATGTCAATTCTGTCATTTTTTCAAAACTATTTGAAAGTCTTGTGCATCCCATCCTCACCAAATATTTGAACAATTTTCTAACGAGCGCTCAGCACGGTTTCAGAAGCAGCTTATCAGTTACAACTAACTTGTCAAACTTTATCTCAGATCTTTTTTTTTTTCTCTTTATTTATTTAGGGATTTTTATTTGTTAACATGTCAATCCCATTATAACTAACTTAAAATCTATACATTTACTATTAATCTGCACATACTCAATGCAATATCCGAGGTGCGTGCATGTATAATGCCTTGCGCAAGACCCATATTGTATACACTCACATTCTCATTCCATTAAAAAATTATGTGTCGTCTATTACTCCACACGTTTCACAATTGGGTGAAACAGTTCTTTTCATCAGATAAGAAAATTTTTTTGATGGCATGTGACCTGTTCTTTATCTAAACATTGTTTTAATAATATTTCTATTTAATTTTGTGTCTATAAACCAGGGTATTCGGGGCGGCTCACTCTGTATAGTTTTGTACTAAATACCTTTCGTTTTGGAGCGTTCATTGAAAAATTCTTTCCATTCGATATAACATGAATTTCTGAATTTTAGCAGTAATTCTGAGTAACAAGGATTAATATTATACTCTACACCATTTACACAAGCAGAATTCGTTAGCACAGGTAGACAAGGGACAACAGATCGATGCTATTTATACCGATTTTAGTAGCGCATTTGATAAGATTGACCATCAGATTCTAATCAACAAGCTTTCACAATACGGCATCGATGCCTCTTTAACCTCAGACGGTAGTAGTAAATGGGTTTGAATCTGAGAGACACATCGCTCGCTCTGGGGTACCACAGGGTTGCCACCTCGGCCTTTGTTGTTTTTGGCCTTCATAAATGATATTACCACAGAGGTAAAGTATTGCAACTGCTCACTTTTTGCCGATAACTTAAAATCTATAAAATTACAAAGTCAGATGAATACACTAAATTATTATAAGAAGATCTCGATAGAATCACTAATTGGTGTGGCGTCAATAGTATGACTCTTAATGTTAACAAATGTTTTCATATAAAATATACCAGAGAGAAAAAGCCACTTATCTCAAGTTATTCGATTGATAGTGTAGTATTACAAGAGTTACCAGACATCAAGGAGTTAGGATTTATTTATTGACAGGAAATTAACGTTTACATCACATATAAACAATATTATCAAAAAAAGTCACGCAGTTCCTCGGATTGATTAGACGAAACACAAAAGAATTTACCCGCAGGACTAAAATTATTTTGTACAACGTGTTTGCGAGAAGTTGCTGCGAGTGTCATTTACTGATAGTAAGGATTCCAAATGTTATGCTGTCTTTTAAAAAAATCCACCGATCATCTATCGGTGAGTCAGCATTTAAATTGAAAAAAAATATATATATTTTTTTTTTCATACGCACATATTTATTGGTAAATTACTTATCTTCACGCACAATCCCTGACGGGGTAGCCAGAGAGAACAGATCGCCAAGTGTCACGATCCTTACATACCTCTTTCGCTTCTTTCAGATTCATTATCTTCTTCATACATGCACGTCTAGGTATCCGAGTACTCTTGACCCTACCCTCTTCGAGCAATTTGCTCACATGGTCTTCGAAAGTTAGTCTCGGTCTACCTCGACACCTTTTAATATTAACTTTCGCGCTATATATTTTCTTCACCATTCGGTCTTCACTCATTGGTTTGGTAAATTAAAGTTAAATAAATATTAAATTTATTGGTATTTGTGTACACGTGTTATTGTGTACATATCAGTGAGCGTGTTATTTTCTATATAATCTAGTGTTAATGTTTAATATGTAATTATATTGTAAGTGGACCTATATATAAAAAAAACACATACAGTCGAATTGAGTAAACATTTGTACACCTTTTTGAAGTCGATAGAAAAGATGAATCATAAAATCGGTTTATAAAAAAATGAACAAAACTGTAACATCGAATCAAAATAATCCTTATACCTATATCTATTTCCTCTTACTATATATAATAAAAAAACTTAAGTTATTTACCTATCTCCTTCTGTTCTACTTCAGAATTTAAATCCAATCTTGCTCGTCTTAAAAGGAGACATAAAACAGAAGCCAGTGCTTTCGAATGCACGCCCAGTACGCATCGTGATACATACTCCGCGGTGAACCTGCAACAAAAGAAATAAATTATTATAATGTTCTCTTGAAGAGCTTTGTACATAAAACAACAGTTGTAAAAAGATTACAATTCCAAATATACACTACGAAGTTGACGGTGTCAATGAGAATCGTAGGTCCGTTTGAATGATTTTATTTTTGCTATTCCTTGAATAACATTTATATGGTAATAAAAACATTACAACTATAATATGTATGTTTGATATGTGTTGGGTTGCATTTCGTCGGGTGGGTTACGTAAAAGGCGACTACGGGATATGTTCGTGTGACGGCTCATTATTATTATGAGTAATAATAATTGGCTCATTATTATTATTAATAATAATAATTAAATGCAATATAGATACATTTAAAAATATCATCGATATAATATTTTGAACAATTAAAATGCATTAATAGGCATAAAGTTCAAATATATTCATTTCGAATATAAAGTATTATACTACAGTAAAGGCTTAATATTGTCTTTCAAAACCTTTAAATTTATTAAAACTGTGCTTAAAATATTCAAAATGTATTAGATAATAGAAGTACAGGACGATTATATTGCAATAATAAAGATGTCAGCAAATCGAAGGTGAGTAACGTACTCGCCATTGATGTTAATACGGTATCCTTTCCAGTCCAGTAGTTTGAAAACATCTTCAATCAATGCAGCGGTAAAGAGTTTCGGGGATATAACGTCACCCTGTCTTACACCTTTCTGCGGTTGGATACTCTCGTACTCTGGTTTTGTACTCGGATAGCCATCGTAGCCCTACTGTACAAGCACTTCAGAACTTCGATATACCGACAGTCAACTTTGCACCGTTGAAATTTCGACAGAATCAAAGGCTTTTAATTTTAATTTGCTGAAGGGTATGTATGTGGTCTATGGTTCTAAAGTCTTTTCGGAAACCGGCTTGTTCGAGAGGTTGGAAGTCGTCGAGTCTGTGAACATCGTAAATAGTCTGCTCGTTTAGATTCGGCCACCTTTGTGTCGCGTCGCTTTGGCACGTGCCGCATCTTGTCATAGGCGTCGCATCTTGTCATAGGCGTCGCCTCGACATAAAAGGTAACCGTGTGCGGCGTACACTGCAGGAGAATTTGGTATTTTAAAACAAAGCGCCGTAGTGAAAGGTTCTTTGTTACTTAACACGGGTTTATTATTTATATTCGTATTTTATTACAATAACCATAAGAATGTTTTATTTTATTTATAGAATAGAAACACATGTATTTAATAAAGACAGTAAAAAGTAATAAAATAAAAGCAAAACAATAAAAAGTCTCCGTATGTACCGACACATCTTACTAAACGAACTATAACCCAGCGATATTTCCACAACGGAGGTATAAAAATAATAAATATAAAAAACAATCAAGTCAGGAACACTCATCAAGGTTGCATAAATTAGGACTTGCTGATGGATAAATTAAGAGTTGCTTTGCGTATTGTGTGAGAAAATTTTTATATCATAACTGAAAACCAAAAAGAGGCTGTTAAACTTAAATCTAATGTACAAGTGTGCTTGTAAGGTCTATCTTTTAAACTGATTAAATGTGAGAAAAAATATGTTATTATCAGGAATGATTTCGTTGTGAGAGTACAATTGTATTTTGATCTTTAATCGAGGACAGATGTCTACGGGCCATCTGTTGTAAATCTGTCTGAGTGTAAGGAACCGGAGACCCTTTTTACTGCAAACGAGGCATTCCATTTTAGACCCCAGGGTGACAATGCATCTGCATGTTGATTCTTAGTCGAGGGTAAATATTGATGTCTATGGGCCACTGCATCTACTTACCATAAGGTGGAGTCTGTATTCGTAACCCTTATTGTATAAAAAGAACGTATAAAAAGCATTGTGTGTACCTGCGCACGGGGCGGCACAGCTGCGCGTCGTCGCAGAGCAGCGGCGGCGCGGCGGCGCGGAAGGCGGCGGCCAGCTGCGCGCACGCGGCCAGCGCCTCGCCCACCGTCTGCACGCGCCGCACCACGAATATGTCCTCCAGCACCGAGCGCAGCGCGCCGCTCTGCATCGCCGCCTGGACACCGTTCCCACTCAGAACCACTCCTTATACATACCACCACTCGGCACTCAGTACCACCCGTTTTTCTAGCGTACGCGAGGATAATATAGTCACTTTATAATAACTCAACTACAGCCTTGTGCGCATAAATTGCTCTGTGATACGATAGCTCTTCATCTGTCAATTAAATAATTAAAAGGTCAAAATTGCGCTGATTTATCCACGCCATTTTGACAGTTGACATTATAATACATATGACCATTTACTGTTTTTTCTTAAGTTGATTTTTCGAAGTCTTCCTAATTATTGCCAAAACTTGTTTGCTATTTTTGCTTATTATATTAAATTTAATATACGACTTCGTGTTTTGTCTCTGCCCTCCTCCTAGTTTTCATTTTATCAACCGGCCAAGCTTAAGGTGACCATATTACCCTCACGTACCTTATATATAAAAGGGGGAGTAAACGAGCAAGCGGCTGATCTATTAAAGTAACTACCGACGCCTGTGAACTCGTACTTTTACACTTACTTTACAAATATTTACTAAACTTAAACTTGTAAGTAAAGAATCAATACATACACAGTTATGATGCTCTTCTTTATCAGTCTGGGTAATAATGAGGGCTAATAATCTTTTGCTCACCAGATGTCGCTAGTTGGAACTGACGTGAAGTTATTTGTTACACAATGTCATTATAATTGAGAAGTTGCGTTTTAATTATCACTTTATATATTATAACTAAATATTTCAGAGAAAAACATTACTCTTTACATTTTTCTAACAAATTAACTTCCGCGCCGTGCAATCTGTCAGATATTTCACCTCATTCCTAAGTGGTGCTACCGTAATAGCAGAAAAAGTCGTGTATGCCCTCACTGGCATGCAAAACATTAGATTAAGTCATGATAGCGAAGGTGCTTGCCGTAAATGAAATCGTTAATTGCAATTTTAAGTTCCGATTTACCACATACTCGGCGGTGAAAGAAAACATCTTAAGAAAAGCTGACATGTGAAACTCGTTGCCGTGCCGTGCTCGGGCTGCGAACACTTTATTTTGCCTAAAATCCTCTTAAAAATGAGAAGAGGCCTGCCCAGCATTAAACCACTGTAACTTTATAACACATTACAGTATGGTTCAAACACATTGACCAAAATCATTCGTCATCATTGGAACGTCTCAAATCTTTAATTCTAATTATACATTCGACGTTAGAAAACAAATTACAATAAATTTTCTTTATCTAAAAAACTCAAATACGATTTATTTCACTTAAAGAAGTATGTTCTCTATCATCGCGTACTGTGACAATCACTAGTCTTCACATAATGCCCTTCGGGCTTAAAAACCACCTTCACAAAATCCAAGTATTCAATTTTTCATAATATCTTCTCAAATACTATGATTACAGATTTCAACCACGGATACAACTTATGAACAATGTTTTTAATTATCAACAGTGCAAGAAATTACTTCTTTCTTCGAGCTTCTGAAAGAAGATGTAGTGACAAAAATTGAGAAAGGTATCCTGAGACGGTTTGGCCATGTCGAGATAATGAATGAAGAACGATTGACGAAAAAAGTGTATAAGGCGAGTGTGAATGAAAGTGTAGGAAGGGGCAGACCTAGGCGGACGTTCCTAGAACAAATCAGGGACGTCTTGAAAAAAGGACAGGTCAAGAGTACCCTAAACCGTAGAGCATGTATGAAGGGAATAATGAAAGTGGACGAAGCGAAACAAGTGTGTAAGGATCGTAGCAAGTGGAAAGAAGTGGTCTCTGCCTACCCCTACGGGGACGAGGCGTGATTATATGTATGTATGTATGTAAGAAATCACTCCACATTGCAATGTAACGCTTATGCAATATACATAGTATTAGAAACAATTGGTATTTTTCACCACTGTTGACTCCTGCTGACATTTTAACCCAGGACATGCAATGTGTTCTAACCACTTTGTCACGTAATGGCCATACTATAATATTGTTAATTAATATGTCAGAAATATTTGACCAAAATTTTGCTTGCTCAAACTATTTTCTTGATTTAAAAAAAATATTATAAGGGCATGGTCATAGTATATTTATAAACTGTTTTATCTAAATACTTTTAAAAGAAAAGTAATTATTCAATGAGGGTGTTCATGTATAAATCTTATTGCTTAGTGCTTTAGCACACATAATAGCCACTTACCGACATATGCATTGCGTCATTAATATGATCAATCTTTCTCCAAGCAGGCGGTATAGGTGCAGCTAAATGATCAGCTAACTCCCTAGCTCTTAACTCCACAGCGGCGAATAACCCATTAAAGCCCATTAACAGCATACGTCCTGCCGACTGACTCTCCGAGTCTGATGATGACGCTGAGAGCAGAGCTTCATAACGTGCTCGAAGCTCAGCAGCTAATATTTGGGCCCCACTTGCTGGTGACTAAAATAACGTAAAAACAATTTGAATGTATACTTTTTTTTTAAATAACTATCAGGTATATAAATATTTACCTCCATGTCCATTACTAGATATCTGAAATGCATTTCCAGTTGAGCAAGAAGATCATTCAGTGGCACAGGAGAGTTCATGATGACAGCATTCAGTTCAGAAATCATTATAAGTACTGAAGGGTCCTCTGAATGTACCTTCTTTAATGCTTCAGGTAAGATTATAGTGCTGTAATTGTCATTAAGCTGAACTAGATCAGCTAACAGAAGGTTGGCATTTCGTACGCATTCTACAGCCACCGACATAGCAGCATCTTCTACCGATGCAGATTGTAGTGGTAGCAAAGAAAGTAATTCAACTACTTGCATCGAAAGGGCATTCATATCATCAAGGAACCATTCTCCCTCCCTTGACGTTAAGTCAACGAGACAATCACCTGCACTCTGAGCTCCATTTTCCAGCATCAAAAATCTTCTATTCAAATTGCAAAGCATACCAACGACTACACTCTCGAGTGCAGCGGCTGCCCCTTCTTCCGCTCTCACCCAATTGCTTATGTTCGTTTTCGCTTCCTTGTATGCATCTTGTGCTAATACAACGGCATCGGGACCGCCTTCTAATTGTAACCTTTCCAAACACTTATTAAGGTTTGCGTTTGCGTCGGCATTTATCTGCTGTAAGCGATAATTGTATGCTATAATTTGTTGCGTATCACCGGTATTGGAATCCGCATTGACTAAAGTTGTCACTTGATTGGAAACGTCACGGCAAACCTCCGGCAATTTGCTCTCTAATGCTGCTGCGAGATACTTGCGAAACATTACAATTCGGTGATATTCAGTCTGACTCTGCGGATAGTATTGCGAGACAGCTACATATTGCGATAACAATTCTAAACAAGATCGTACTAATACATTTGTTTGTTGCATGCTCTGATTTAGCTCTGTCTCTGCTTGTTCGCATTGAGATATCATTGAACTTTGTCCAGCGTTTGTCATGAATTCTTTTATATGTTCAAAAATAGAATTTTCATCATCTTCACTTGTTCCAGAGAATTCCTGTACCCAGGCCATTAACTGGGGCCCGTTCAATACTTCATTTGTTGCAGCGAAATTTTCAATTTGAGTATCAAAGTCATTTAATATCTTTATTAGTGCCTTCATAGAATCTTCAACGGCATTCTTCGCTTGTTTGTACGACGTATATTTCTGTGAGATTGAGTACAGAGGGTGACTGCTGAGGTTAGGACCATAAGCTTCTATTTCCTTAATCAAGGCCATCTGTTGATGACAATCTTTTAACTTTGTTTCTATTGATTTCAACTCGTCATTTTCTTTAACCCATTTCTCGGCGGTTTGTTGGACTTCAGGGAGTATTGTTATAAATTGTTCTCTGAAAGAAAATTACACATGTGAAATATGATTTCGATGTCAAGAACTTACGCATACGAAATGGTGTTGAAGAATAAAATTTAAAAAATTTCAACTAGGTATATCTAGTAGCCGAAAAGGCGGTTAACTGTATAAAGATTTACAATAATGACGCTAAAATAAATAACACAGAAAGTTGTAAGCAATACTTCATACAACAGAATTTATTGACCTTACAATTTATATATTTGGCCGTGCAGAGTGAGAGAATCCATCAAAATTTCAACCCTTGGATGTTATAAGAGTGAACTATGGGAAATTTCAGAAAAATCAAAACAGTTAATCCGCCCGTCAAGCATGACGATTAAAGCAAATCCTCCCTACAGCAGGAGACATTCTACATGTCCAGCAGTAGACTTTTACGGGCCGATAAAGAAATATTTCTGTTAAAACATTAATTATTACCTGGTCCGGTAGACGTTCCGGCCTTTCCGGTAGATGGCGCGATGAATTATATTCCGAATTTGATTCAGACTTTTTACAGTGTAAATATAAAATGTATAAACAAACATGGGTTTATGAAAAAGTAGTATGTCCTAAAATCGATTAGCAATAAATATAAATACACGTGGCAGTGCCATGCTGCAGCTATATTATGATTGTAACACGAATGGGTCGACTCGGCCGAGGTAGGACCACGCTCTTACAGAAATACCAGCGTAAAATAGCAGCTTAATGCTGTTGTATTTCGTATGATGAGTGTAGAGAATCGGAAACCCTTTTTACGAAACGAGGCATTCCATCTTAGTCCTCAGGGGTAACAAGGCATTTGCATTTTGATTCTTAATCGAGGACAAATGTTGATGTCTATGGCTAGGCATCCACTTAATGTGTACTCATTTGTCCCTCTTATTCTATAAATAATACCATTTTGTGAAATGTCAAGCAAAGATTTTAATTTAAAGGGTTGTACCAAAAGTAAGGTTCCCAATGAGCTACAGCCTCAAGGGAAGGCTAGGCTAAGTCCAACAACAGTGCCGTGCGCAGTGGTTCCCCCACTGTCGAGCCCGCCCGTCCGCTCTTCGGTACGTCGCGTCGCTAGGTATTCGATTGGCAGCCGTCAGAGATGGAAGTATTGATCGCCGCTCTCGCCAAGTGCGAGGTTCGAGCAGTAATACGGTTTCTCCACGCAAGGAAGTTACCGCCCGTGGAGATTCGTCGGCAACTAACTAAGGTTTATGGAGGAGGTGCATGTCCGTTCAGCACGTCCGCAAATGGTGCAGGACTTTTACTGAGGGACGCACAGAAGTTACAATAAAGAACGGAGTGGAAGACCGCCGGTTTCGGATGCGATTGTCTAGAAGATCAACAGTGAGCTGCTCAAAGACCGGAAGATCACTGTCCGTGAACTTGTTGAACGCATTCCTGAAGCGTACCACGGCACAAATGAAATAACTTTAACAAAAACGTTGGGTTATGGTAAGGTGTGTGCTCGGTGGGTCCCCCGGATGCTGACTGACGGACACAAGGAACAACGCCTTGACTGTGCTCGCAAGCTTCTTAGACAATATGAGGGGGGAGGCACCCCACCTCTTCCCCAAGCTAAAGGAACACTTAGGTGGCAAACGCTTCAAGAGCAACGATGAAGTCCGAGCAGAGGTCACACGCTTTCTCAACGAATTGGCGGGAGAATTCTTCGACTTAGGAATACAAAAGCTGGAGCACCGTCTTCAAGTGTGTCGAAAAAAATGGAGACTATGTTGAAAAATAGATAAAAGTGTAAGCTTTTCAACGATGTATAAATTAATAACAACAAACGATGTTTTCTACTTGTAAAAAATATGGGAACCTTACTTTTGGTACAATTCTCGTAAATACTCCTGCTCAAAAGTGATTTAACTGCCTGATATTTTTAGTCGAAACCCCGTTATTGACCAATACTTTTCAGTCAAAATACTTTTGATCAAATTCATTAGTCAAAAATACTCTTGATATGATTTTATTCGAGAAAGAATTAAATGTAACAGATGTAAAAGATACGGAATATTCAAAAGTATACGTTATATGTGTTTTAGTTCTTTTTCGTATATAAAAACCTTGTTAAATATGTGTTTTATTATATTTTACAATGTTTTAATAAACAAAAAGAATCAAGAGATATAAAGTACAACAAAAACAAGACTATTTAATTTAAATATAGTATTAGTAGTATTTTTTGTAAATAGTGGAAGAGAGCGTAAACGAGCACATGGGTGTTTAGTTTGACCATTTTGAAAATAAATTGCGTTATAGATAAGTAAGTACATCATAATTTTATCGCTCAACTATACTGGTTTCTACTCGAACAGTTATCAAAAGCACGTTAATATACGTCATCAGTGTTTACTCGTCGGGCTTAGTACAGAAAGATATAAAAGAAAATTAAATTTTTTTTCTACGGCACAATAAAATATAATGCATCTCTCATTATATCAGTATAGTAGTGCAAATATAAAACACGAAAAAATAAACATGAATGTTAAAAAATCGTTAAATTTAATGATGGAATGCATCACAACCCGTTAATTTATAAATGTAGAAGAACAGTAGTACAAATTTATATTAAACTCTTATAATCTGATAGTCGATAACTGTATTTGTACCACTTGTACTTACGTTCAATTTTCAAATTCAAATTCGTTCGATCAGCAACTAATGCTAGAAAACACCTAATTCAAAGACAGGTCTTACTAAGACGTGGAACATCTTATCGGTGTTCAATTTAAATTTCAGTTTAAAAAAGTTACAATTTGTTATCGGTAGTTATTTTTTTAGTTTGTTCTGCTTTAAAGTCTTGAAGCAATAATAAATCTATAAGCAGTGGCATTGAATTCTTTCCTTTTTATGTGGGACAATAAAGCTAACACAATATTATTTATTTCAATTATGTCGTGTAATCTAGCCGTTTCATCTAACGCTTCAACATTACTCGGAATCCTTTCTATTAGCTTTGAGCAATCAAGTCCTTTAATTTGGAGGCCATTGAGTAAGTTTGCGCGACTGTAAATACGGCAATCTAGCCGGCAACAAAGAGACATAATCCCAGACAAACAACGGCGTAATCTCCGGTGCAGCTTTGCATTTTTCATATCTTAAATGATGTGAAATATTAGAACAGGCAGATCTAGAGTCCCTTGTAAAAGGGTCATCTCCAGTAGTCGAGTATTACGGTCTGATGAAGGAGAAGAAGATATTATACTCCATATTCATCCACATCTATCCGCGATTAAGGCCCGTATTTATAAACGTTACTCAACGACGAACTCAAATGCGTAATCACTTGATATGCCCTCATTACAATGTCAGCATCTCAAGATCGTTGCTAATTAATAAACACATAAAAACGGTATCTCAAGACGCTGTACTTAGGAATACTGTTCTGACTTCAGGGCTTGATATCGTCACATAGACCGAAGATTAGAATAGCATTCATCACGTTTCGTTTTTGCTTTACGTGAAATTTATTCATCATCATCATTACAGCCCTTCACAAGTCCACTGCTGAACATAGGCCTCCCCCAAAGAATGCCACAAAGCACGGTCCTGAGCCACCTGCATCCATCGACTTCCTGCATGTCTTACCAGGTCGTCACTCCATCTCGTGGGGGGACGCCCTACACTTCGCCTGCCGGTACGAGGCTGCCACTCGAGAACCTTTCTTCCCCATCGGTTGTCGGTTCTTCGAGCTATATGGCCGGCCCATTGCCACTTCAGCTTACTAATCCGTTGGGCTATGTCGGTTACTCTGATTCTACTGCGGATATCCTCATTCCTAAGTTTATCACGCAGAGAAACTCCGAGCATAGCCCTCTCCATAGCTCGCTGAGCGACCTTGAGCTTCCTCATACGGCCAGCAGTGAAGGACCACGTCTCAGTTCCGTAAGTCATCACTGGCAACACGCACTGGTTGTACAATTTCGTTTTCAGGTTTTGAGGTATGTCTGACGAGAAGATGTGTCGTAGCTTCCCGAACGCTGCCCAGCCGAGTTGAATCCGTCGATTGACCTCTCGGTCGAAGTTGGACTTACCTAGTCGGACTATTTGTCCCAGGTAAACATACTCGTCAACAACTTCGAGCTTAGTGCTCCCAACAACTACCGGCATAGGTGTGACATGGACATTAAACATGATCTATGTCTGAAATTTATTGAGTACTTTTATTTTACTACTAATAAACTAAAGCATTAAAGTGACGACAGCGCCAGTGTCAAATATAAAACTGACGTATCATTTTTGACACTTGACACAACTTTGATCTCGCGGGAAATTTTATTTACACAAAAATGGAAAGCAAGAAACATGTATTTACTCCGATTGGGAGAAAATTCTTTCTCGGAGTTATAAAAAGTATAGGGCTATGGTGGAAAATAAGGAGACCGATGGCACGTCTCTACGTATTAAAAATGTGGCCTGGAGCAACATAACTGTAGAATACAACGCTAGCCTATACGCATCTAACCAGGTAGGTAATTAATTATAGTACTACAAATATCACTTTTTTTAAAATCAACATAGTAATCTGAATTTCTATAGCAGTGTGTATCTAGTCATGACATTTATTTTATCGTGCAAATCGTGGATTGTCTACTTTGAAAGCAAAAAAACCTTAAAGTGAATAGGATGGCTATTTCTGGTAAAATTGGAAAACCTCTGTAACTGTATTTCACCAATGAGTCTTTTAATAATTTTATAATATATATTACTCATTCTTGACCAAATCTGTAACATCTTTTAAAATGATTACTTTGTAACTTAAAAGAATTGGAGGTATACCTTATATAAATCTTTGGTAAACGATATCGCGAAGGCCGTAAAATATTGTCGTTGAACTCAATTTCGTCGTAATAATTAATTTCTCTTAAAATATTTTCAATCTCTATACCAACAATCACGATCTTAAGTCACGGACTGCCCGCACTCAAATTTTAGCATCTCAACACACACTTGAGAGTCGAGTTTCGTTTATTTATCGGTGCTTCAATCAGCTGATATCGTAAACCTAAGCCGCATCTTGAGATATGTTTGTTAATAAGATCATAACCACAAGATTGTACTCAAGTGCGTGCACATGAGCTGAGTAACGTTTATTAATATGGGCCTAAGAATCAATATGCAGATGCGTCTTACCCTTGAAAACTAAGATGGAATGCATCGTTTACAGGAAAAAGGGTCTCATGTTACAGCCCATAAGAAACACAACTGCAATAAGCTGCTTTTTACGCTGGTATTCTGTGCGAGCGCGGTCCTACCCCGGCCGAGCCGACCCATTCGTGCTACAACTATATAGCTATAGCGTAGCTCTACAACGTACATCATTATTGGCATTGTGTTAAAACAAAAAAATACACAGGTACTGGACTTACGTGATATCGTCAATGGTATGCTCGAGCTCGCGTACTCGCACGGCGAGCATGGCACGCGCGGCGCGCACGTGCCTCATCCCGCGGCGTTTCTTCACTCCACCCCATTCCACCAGCGGGTCGTACACGAACGCCTCGAGCAACGTCAACAACGTCTCGCGGCCGCGCCGCATTGTACGAAGCACGTGCTCGCATGCCAAACGGAATATGCCCTGCAGACAAAAATAAATTAAATATTTGTCAAATGCACGTACAAATGATATAATTAGTCCTGGTAATATGCTAAGGAAAATAAATCAGAAGATGTACAGTAGCGTCTTCCTAATAACGACTAAAAATTAAAAACTGCGGTTGCCAACGTGCTTGCCAAGCGTGCCACGTTTGACGGCTCCCTGGCGCAGTGGCTTAGCAATGAGTTGTTGCACTGCGGGTCACGGGTTCGAATCCCGCACGGAACAAGTATTTGCATGGCCTACAAATAATTGCTCCGGGTCTGGATGTTTGTCTCGTGCAATTTATATTTGTAAACTGCCTCCACGATACAGGAGAAAATCCTAATGTGGGGTAACATTTTTTTAAAGAAAAAAAACATTCTTCCTATGAGGCAATCTATGGGGGAGGCCTATTTTATACATATACACGACTTAAATAGGCTGTAAAGGTAACGGTTGCTGAGTACTGTGCTGACGAAATGAAATATGTTTAATTGTCTCTATTTATTTGAACAAAATTTAAATGACAAACGAACTTAAAAACCACCTGACGATAAGTGGCTACTGCAGTTCATGGATGCTTGCTACTAAATTCTAACAACTGCTGCTGCTTGCGTGCTGACTGCTATGTTTCGTATGGTGAGTGTAGAGAACCGGAGACCCTTTTCACTGGAAAAGAGGCATTCCATCTTAGTCCTCACGGGTGACAACGCATCTGCATTTTGATTCGCAAACGAGGATAAAAGTAGATGTCTATGGGCCACAGCAACCACTTACCATCAGGTGGACTGTGTGCTCGTTTGTCACCCTATCCTATAAAAAAAATGCGTAGTCACGTTGCTGTAATTATATTAGTTATCTATAGCCGTTAGACCATCATTTGGAACTCAGCGGTGCACGTACTCCACCACGTAGGCAGACATAGGTAAGAGGATGCTGCCTACCCAGACGGACTCCTAGACAAAAAGAAGGCATAATCAGTTAAGCAGCACCGCTAGCACTAAGATCAAAGTTAGTGACCGCAAAACTAGAGGGAGACCGCGTAATCCGTTTAAACGCCCTGGGATGAAACAACAATTACATGGTAGAGCCATGCTGCAGCTATATTAGTAGTAGGCATAGTTGCAGCACGAATGGGTCGGCTCGGCCGGGGAAGAACCACGCTCTCACAGAATACCAAAGTAAAATATTAGCTTAACGCTACTGTGTTTCGTATGGTGAGTTTAGAGAACTGGAGACCCTTTTTACTGGAAACGAAGCATTACATCTTAGTCCTCACGGGTGACAACGCATCAGCATTTTGATTCGTAATCGAGAAAAGATGTAGATGTGTGCTCGTTTGTCACCCTTATCCTAAAAAAACAGGGTCGTTTAGACAATTTCTGTTTTTTTTAACTGACTTCAAAAAAAGGAGGAGGTACTTAATTCTACTGCATTTTTTATGTATTGATGATTCTCTTATTATTTGAAAGCTAATACTTCTCATGTAGTCCCATATAAATTTGATTATGATCTGACATATAGTTTTTGAGTTATCCTTAACAATGCGTATTTAATTGACTTCGACTACATTGATGATGTTCTCATTTTATTTATGTTGAAGTCGGTTGTACAAAAAATTTAATGTTGTTGTTTAAACTTGGCTATCTTTAGACTAGGCAAATCGAGGGAGTACAGATTGTGTTCTTTAACGGAAAATATCCTCAATGCGCCTACATAAAACTCATCTGGGAAACTACGTCGGTACTTAGCGCCAGGGATAGAAAAAATCATGATTTTTTTTAATTTTAATCAAATCATGCTGACTTTTTTAAAAAAAAAACATGATTTTTTTTATTTTTTTGTATATTTGGAAATACACGAGTTGGTAACACTTTTTAACATAGTAGGATTAAAAGTTTATGAATACACTAGCTGTTTCTCGCGACTTCGCCTGCGTGTTATTTGGGGTTTTAGTTTTTTTGCACGGAACCCTAATTCTTTTTCTAAAATAAATGTAGCCTAGGTTACTCCTTATGACATCAGCTATCTGCCAGTGAAAGTCCCGTCGAAATCGGTCCAGCCGTTTCAAAGATTAACCAGAACAAACAGACAGACAAAAATTTAAAAAAATGTATTTTTGTTATACGTATCGTCGTATATACTTTCATATGTATTTAGTAAAAAGCCTTAATTTTGACATTACAAACAGACACTTCAATTTTATTTATTTATATAGATATGTATGAAACTGATTAAGAGTAAAATAACCGTCCAACTACAGGCCTATCGCCATCACCTCCTTGTTCTCCAAAATAATGGAATCCATTATAAACTGCCAGCTCATGAGGTACCTTGAGGATCACCAGCTGATCAGTGACCGTCAGTACGGTTTTCGTCGGGGTCGATCAGCAGGTGATCTTTTAGTTTACTTAACTCATAGATGGGCGGAGGCAGTAGAGTCCAAGGGGGAGGCATTGGCCGTTAGTTTGGACATAGCGAAGGCCTTCGATCGGGTCTGGCACAAGGCGCTTCTTTCGAAGCTTCCTTCCTATGGGCTTCCCGAGAAATTGTGCAAATGGATCACCAGTTTCCTTGCTGATCGGAGCATCAAGGTCGTAGTAGACGGTGCATGCTCTGATTACAAGCCTATCAACGCTGGTGTTCCACAAGGCTGCGTGCTATCACCAACGCTGTTTCTCCTGCATATCAATGATATGCTGCTAACTGGTAGCATTCATTGCTATGCAGACGACAGCACTGGGGATGCCTTATATACCGGCCGTGCCAATATTTCTCGGGAAAACGTCGCCGAGTACCGGGACAAACTTGTGTCTGAAGTCGAGTCTTTGCTTAACAAAGTCTCGGATTGGGGCCGACTAAATCTAGTCCAGTTCAATCCCCAGAAGACACAAGTTTGCGCGTTTACCGCTAAAAAGAACCCCTTTGTCGTATCTCCTCAGTTTCAAGGCACTCCCCTTGCTGCCTCAGCCAGTATCGGAATCCTTGGCGTCGACATATCGAATAGCGTGCAGTTTCGTGGTCACTTGGAAGGGAAGGCCAAATTGGCCTCTAAAAAGCTTGGCGTGCTCAGCAGAGCGAGACAGTATTTCATGCCGGCACATCGCTTGCAACTTTACAAAGCGCAAGTTCGGCCCCACATGGAATACTGTTCTCATCTCTGGGCCGGGGCACCCCAGTGCCAGCTCCTTCCACTTGACCGCATCCAGCGCAGAGCGATTCGAATCGTCGACGACCGAGTTCTTTCCGATCGGCTCGATACACTGGCACTGCGTAGAGATGTTGCATCTCTTTGCGTATTTTATCGCATCTATCACGGGGAGTGCTCTGAGGAATTGTTCGGACTAATTCCAGCCGCTCAATTTCACCATCGCACGTCGCGACAAAACTCGCGTTACCATCCATACCATCTGGATGATTGGCGGTCCACCACTGTGCGATTTAGAAGAAGTTTTCTCCCTCGCACAACTTCTTTGTGGAATCAATTACCACCAGCGAATTTTCCGAACCGATACGACTTAGGAACCTTCAAGAAAAGAGCTTACACCTTTCTAAAAGGCCGGCAACGCATCTGCAATTCCCCTGGTGTTGCGGTTGTTCATGGGCGGCGGTAGTCACTTAACATCAGGTGAGCCGCATGCTCGTTTGCCCCCTATTCTATAAAAAAAAAAAAAAAAAAAAAAAAAAAAAATTAATACATACTGTATTAATTACAGTTCATATACATATTAAAAGTCTAAAAAATAAAAAAATTGATTTTAAAACTGACAGATCTCATCGCTACGTCTTTGTTGATTTTCCAAAGTTTCTGAGACTATTGTTTTTTTTTTTTTTTTTTTATAGGAGAGGGGGCAAACGAGCATGCGGCTCACCTGATGGTAAGTGACTACCGCCGCCCATGAACAACCGCAACACCAGGGGAATTGCAGATGCGTTGCCGGCCTTTTAAAAAGGAGTAGGCTCTTTTCTTGAAGGTCCCTAAGTCGTATCGGTCCGGAAAAATCGCTGGTGGTAAACTATTCCACAAGGAAGTTGTGCGAGGAAGAAAACATCTTCTAAATCGCACAGTGGTGGACCGCCAATCATCCAGATGGTGTGGATGGTATCGGGAGTTCTGCCGCGATGTGCGTTCGTGAAATTTGGCGGCTGGGATTAATCCGAACAATTCCTCAGAGCACTCCCCATGGTAAATGCGAAAGAAAATGCTAAGAGATGCAACATCTCTTCGCAGTGCCAATGAGTCGAGCCGATCGGAAAGGACTCGGTCGTCGACGATTCGAGCTGCTCTGCGCTGGATGCGGTCAAGTGGAAGAAGCTGGCACTGGGGAGCCCCAGCCCAGAGATGGGAACAGTATTCCATGTGAGGCCGAACCTGCGCCTTGTAAAGTTGCAGGCGTTGAGCCGGCATGAAATACTGTCCCGCTCTGCTGAGCACGCCAAGCTTTTTAGAGGCCAATTTGGCCTTCTCTTCCAAGTGACCACGAAACTGCACGCTACTCGATATGTCGACGCCGAGGATTCCGATACTGGCTGAGGCAACAAGGGGAGTACCTTGAAACTGAGGAGATACGACAAAGGGGTTCTTTTTAGCGGTAAACGCGCAAACTTGTGTCTTCTGAGGATTAAACTGGACTAGATTTAGTCGCCCCCAATCCGAGACTTTGTCCAGCAAAGACTCGACTTCAGACACAAGTTTGTTCCGGTACTCGGTGACGTTTTCCCGAGAAATATTGGCACGGCCGGTGTATAGAGCATCACCAGTGCTGTCATCTGCATAGCAATGAATGCTACCAGCTTGCAACATATCATTGATATGCAGAAGAAACAGCGTTGGTGATAGCACGCAGCCTTGTGGAACACCAGCGTTAATAGGCTTGTAGTCGGAGCATGCACCGTCTACAACGACCTTGATGCTCCGATCTGCAAGAAAGCTGGTGATCCAATTGCATAATTTCTCGGGAAGCCCATAGGAAGGGAGCTTCGAAAGAAGCGCTTTGTGC